TCCCAGTTCTATGAACTGCATATTTTCCAAAAACTAGTTAAAGTAACCAGTTCTTTTTTGAGAACTGTGTATAGTGACTAGTATGGGAGGAAAGTTACTGCTACCAGCCAGTTACATTACCGGGTAATTAGTAACGAATCCGTTACCAGTTACCGGCTATTGTGAGAACAAAACATATTGATGTTCTGACCGATCATGGAGTTATCTGGAGCTCTCTTTCATTTGACCCAAACATCAATATGTTTTGTCCTTACAATAGCGGAAAAACAGCTTTCTCCAGTGTGACTAGCCAATAGTGTGATGTACAGCTCACGCGCGTTTTCACCGGTGTTCCTTACCGGTTACTTGGCAACGGAACGGTAACTGACCTCCTCTAGGTTCTATCAAAGAACTGCTGGAACAGTTCTCAAGATCTGAACTGATATTGAACTGTCCTACGCCTACTTATACATTGTTTTCCTCAGTATCCTGATAAATGTTTCGAATTTTCTTTTTAATTGAAGTATTTTGTCATTTTTTTACTTACCTCAGTGTCTGTAGTTTCCATTAAAAAACAGTTAGTTCACAATGTACTACTACGTCTATCTAATAAAGTTGTATTAAGAAGATTTATCGAATAAAATCAATTTATTGTCAACAAATGAAAAAGATTAATTTTAAAACTTACGAGTATTCAACTGTTCAATCGAAACGTAATTATCAAAATAAAAATGAAAATTTTCATAGAAACCACGTTGATAAAAAAAAGAAAACCAGTTAAATATCAAATATGGAAGTTATAGCATACGTTAAACATAATTAGTTTTTGCTCAAAATAACTTGTTTAAGATTAATCTAACATTGATTGAGGCAAACATATAACTATTTCAATTGATTAAAACGTAGTTTCCACTAGTTAAATTGTTTAGAAAAAAAAGATAAATACTATATTTAAAATAAAAATCATGCAAATCGTTTCGCGCTAGTCCTTCAATCAACATCTTCTCAATAACTCGTTTACTGTTGATTAATTTCCAATTTCTTCTATATCAAATAATTATTATGTAAAGGATAGATCAGAAGTTCCGTCTCAGTTTGTACAATAAATATTTTATACAAATAAATACATTTGTAGAGCTGTCTTCATAGATCGAAAAGATACAATAAAATGTGCTCTTTACCATGTCTGTAAATTGCCCATTACTAGCTCATCCAGTAACCAGTTACTATGCCTACAAATTTTTGTCATACTTAAAAACAAAATGATCATTAATATGTAAGACTTTAAACATGCCCAATGTGACTTTAATTAATTAATTCAAATTGTAAAATTAATATAGAATAATTTTATAATTAATTAGTCATTTAAGATGTTAACTGAACATAATCAATTTGATATACTAGTTCTGCCTTTGAAATAAATGAATCTTTGATGGACAAAAAACATTACCTAATTGGAAAAACGCTTTTCTTTAATTTTGATTTTTTTCAACGCATCGATTTTCTGATTGCTTGTGTGAATTATTTTGTTCTAACTGACGGTTATTGATGCCTTTCACCTGACTCGATTATTCTTTGATAGATCTTACATCATTTAGTTTATTTTTGGACTTAACTATTCTCGACATGTAACAGAAGAATTTAATAGAATTGCATTGATCAACAACGTTGATTATTATTTATATAACATTCTTTTTTTTTCGAAGATGAAATTAGTACACGAAATCGGTTATATTCTTTTAACATGTTGAATGTCTAATTATTCTATATTCAGTTTATAGTGTGAATTTATTGCTTTGACTGTGTTTTTTCCATCACTTTCATTTTCACGTTGTACATATTAATGATTACTTCATGTGGGTGTGGGTGTATGGGCGTGAGGGTGAGTATGGGTGAAATGGCACCCACACCTCACACACCGCCCCACATCCATACTCACACCCATCCACACTCACACCTAACACATTTCCCCACACCTACGCCCACACCCCAAAAATTCGCTAGGCTGTGCTTCTCTTTTAATGCTTTAATTTCTTACATTTCATGTGACATTTAGATCGACCATATCCTTCGCTATTATTTCTATACATTTTTTTTGGTATGTCACTGCACAAAAAAGTCTAAAGGTGTCCAGTTCGGTATTCACGAAGCTCATGAAACCACTTTGTGTTTCCGAACGACGACTCGTGAACTGGAAGAGGTGAACCGATCTGTTGAGCTTCATGGTCGCCGGATTGGACACTATTCGGCTTTTTTTTGTAGTGACATATCAAAAGAAATGCATAGAAATGAGAACGAAGGACATGACCGATCTAAACGTCACATGAAATGCAAGAAACTAAAGTATTAAAAGAGAAACACTACCTAGCGACTTTTTGGAAACCGAAAAACGAGTGCTTTTTGTACATCAGCCGAAACTAATAACTGTGAACAGTATTCGTGAACCTTGCCCATATAAAAAAAACTTCACACCGGTACCTATACTTTGAAAAAAAAATAGTTGATTAAGCTTGATAAATGTTGAAGATATTCAAATTTACTTTTCTCAGGGACTTTTGGAACAGCCTGTATTTTGCGTGCTCCTGAAGACATGCCCGATATCAATTCCAACAGCAACTCACCAGTTGGGTATACGATTGTATCCCGGATTCTCTAGTGATCCACGCTCTATACTGGCTTCCACCATCAACTGTGCAGATGAACTTCTTTGGTTTATTGGAAAGCTCTTTGATTTCCGGAAGATTGCAGAATTCCTCGGATATTGAATAGTTATACTTTGACATCAATAAGGAAGACTGATGCTATGGTTGATGTCGAAATATGCTCACTGTGATTATAAATCCATTTTTAAATTGAAAATCTATTAGAATTTTGACATTGGATTATACAATTAATTTTGCTAAATTTTCTAGAACTCAAATGAAGCTTCAATATCACAATGTAGACAGCTGCGAGTAAGAATCACACATCTTCGGAGAGGATGCTAAATGGTTCCACGTCGTGACACTGAAATGAAAGGTTGGCTATGCGGTCAAAAGCCTTTTTGCACAGATACACATTTTAGTTCAGCCTTTCGGTTTATTGAAAACATTTTGTTAAAAAAACCTTTTCAATATCAGTCAAGAGCCTAAAATTGTTGTCTGGATAATAATTATAATTGAAATAAAAATTTATCTTTTACCATGTTGGCCGTTTTAACATAAGTACTGGTTCCAATTGTTTTCATTCATTTTCGAATTGATATCAAGCTCCAGAAGCTTTATTTATATTCGAACTCAAGTTAGGCAACTCATACATACTAATATGTATTTAAACTATCGAATTTCCTTCTGCATGAAACTCATCAAGCAACAATAAAGGAACTATACTTTTGCTCTTCGATATCATTTCTTTTCTCAGATAATCTGACTTCATGAAAGAGATGAACAGTTCAGAAAGTGTCAATCGAAAAACAATGTATGCGTCATTGAGATCTGCTTGACACTTTTGAATAGAATTCAAGGAAGTCTTGTACAAAGAACAAAATTTAGATAAGAATGTTCTCCAATTCACAAGAACCTATTTCTTGACAATATGAGAAATTCGATTCAAGTTACTCTAGATCAACTTCTGTTTTTTATTATGTAGATCGTATTCATACATTTTTATTTAATATGAAACGCAATAGATATCAAATGCTCACGTAGCAGACGACTTATCATAAGTTCCATCGGTTGTGACTGAGATAAACGATGGATTGACGATTAGAGCAGGTGCCACCATGTTTGACTGTACTAATGGTTTCGATTTTGAATGGAGTATCTCTTCAGTGTGATTCATTTGATCAATGCGATGTGTACCCGATGTTATTTTGTCAATATCCTTATTTTCATTCTATAACAATTATAAACTTGACTTATTGATGATTTGAAAAAATCGAACTTGAAATACCTGCTCCGTGTGATAGGTTTCATAATCGATACCAAATCGAAACCATTCACAGCATTGTTTAGGTAAAAAACAGCAGCATATACTTCTTACTGATATAATCAATTTTGGATCGATCTCATGCGAATGAAGTGGATAAGTTAAATAGGAAACAATGTTGCCAACGAGTATCACAGTGCAGACTGCAATCGGTGTGTACCACATGTAACTCACTGAATACAAGCCAATAAGAGGATCACGTCTAGGTAAAAACAAAAATAGATTCTTTGATCGATATAAATAATATTTCAGCTTTTCAAACGGAATTGTAAATGATTTTCTTATGTATATACTGAGAACAGTATTACCACCCCTTCATCTGCCTATTATCCCATAGAGTCTTTATTCGTTGAATTTTTGGACACCAGAACTTATATTCTAAATTAACTAATCAAGTATTGATTTAATTGAATGTTTATTTATCTTGAGAATTGTTTAATTTAATAATGATGCTACCATATTGGTTGTAAGTTTTGAAGTATTTACCAAGAAAAGTGAATTGTATTGCACCCTTCTCCTCTGTCTCACTCTGCCCCATGAGCCGTGACAGATTTATTACTTAGCATAATAGGTTTTCGAATATTGTGTGATGAGCTTTCATGAAAAATGAGCAGTAATAAATGTTAACTTCTCAAACCAAAGAAATTGACCCTCTCTCTGTCTCATAGACGAAGACAGACATTTCCGGAATACTTTCAATGGATGTTTGACCCGCATATTACCGTCTTTCTCTATTCCGACAGTTTAAAAGGGTATTTGACACATTCAATGACAGTTTCAACTGTTTTATAGCATACATATGATGCTTCAGAATAAGCTTGATATACCACTTTCTAGTTCCTGAAAATATTTTGATACCATTGTTTAAACCTTTTCAACATCGTTAAAGTAGCTCTATTGTCTTACGCATATGAATTCCATTTGGATTACGCTGAAAGATTTTTCTAAGGTAAAAATATATTCAATTTGACGCTCTGTTCTTCAATATGATGTACTGATTTCAGATAAATTTTTGCTTTCTCTGTCATGTAATCAAAATTCTTCTTCAAATGATCTTACTTCAAAGATGTGTGCATCGCTACTGTTGTTGTTGTTGTCCAATTCGTTGATGTATTACTTATTGTTTCAGAACAATTGGCTATCGACAATGATAAACTGACATTTTTCATCTGTTTTTTTGTTATTTGAGCACCCAAAAAGATCCATAATAGGAAGGCTAGACCTGTGACAAATCCGATAAGTGCGCCTCGTCGATTTGCTCGTGGAAAAAAGAGACCCAAAACAAAGACACCCATAATCGGACCCTCTATGACACCGAATAGAGAGAGAGTAGCATTAAGTATTGAATCAAAATAGCTGACTACATAGGTAAGTAACATGACAACAATTCCGAGTATGACAGACAATATTTTCGAAATAAAACCTTGCCGTTGATCAGTCATTTGTCGACCAATCAATCTTTTGTAAACATCTTCGATTATTACTGCTGATAAACTATTCAATCCCGATGAAATTGTCGACAGTGAACCGGAAAAAATACAAGCAAGAAATACACCAGGCAAACCTTTCTTATCACTTAATACATCCATCACAAAATATGGAAGAATTTGATCGATGTCTTGAATTTGTTTACTCGTATACGGATCACAATCGACATAATATGCATATATGATAACTCCGATAAAACCCGAAAAAAATACAATAAGTCCAGAACCGATTCCGTTAATAAATAAAGCTTGTTTAGCAGCACGTGTAGAACGAATAGACATGTAACGTTGAATTTGTGCTTGATTAAATCCATACGTAGCAAGTGAATTGATTGAACCACCGATGAGCAACGACCATATTGTATGGCGAGTTCGAGGGTCAAAGCTAACACTGAGAACAAACAAAATCTCAAGTTTTTTTAGGCGTCAATCTAGTAAAATTATGCTAAATAGTTTGTCCTATAGTACGATTCATATACTTTATCATGTACAACCAGACGTATAACCGATAATTTTCTATGATAGAGGACTATGATGGCAGAAAAAAAATTCCACCGTCAAATTTGAGTTCCCTCTACCACCAACCCAGGAAATTTTCCTCGAGGAGGTTGAACTGAATCTGCCTTTCTCTCCCTCTCCTCCCTCACCCTTCCATTGTACCACTGCTTACGACGTTCGAATAAGTTTTGAATAAAGTTCAATTTTACAATTCTGCTTGTTACATTTTAAATATACCTGGTATTACATATTTGCAGAATGGTCCGAATATGATAACAATGAACATCGGCTATAGTGACTTCCACCGTATTTATACGATCAGAATAAGTTTCAAGTAAAATTTTCTTATAATATACCTGTCAAACTCAATTCTACCACCTTGCGATGCAATGAACCATATTCGTTTGAAACCGCCGAGTGTGATCAATCCTACGCTCAGGTTAGAAAGATACTTGCAAAAGATAAATTCTTAATGAAAAAAATATGTTGAACCTTGAATGATGACGGAGAGTAGACCAACCAATATGACTATTGATTGCAGAACATCCGTCCAAATGACTGCTTTCATACCACCCTGAATAAAGAGAAATGATTAGATGAGGATGGACATGTTTTATTCTAGTCAAATTTAGTCGTTACCACAGAAGAATAGAATGTACAAATGCTACCGATCGAAACAACAGCGACCCAAATGTTCAAACCAGTAGCTAAATAAAATTCAATCATTTTTTTTCATTGATTTTCTTTTTACTTTGACTCAATGCCAATGCTGGCCCATACAATACAATAGCCATGTAGATCAACTTTAGCATAGAAAGAAAATGGAGATAAATAGATGTGAATGCATTCATGCTCACCATGATCAATGAGAAACTGAAAGAAACACACAAGCGTACAGTTCGATCGAAACGCTTGTCTAAATACTATAGTAAATATTTTTCTTATATTTTTTTAAAAATAAATTCAAACGGTAAACCCGTTACTTCATAGACGCTTGTAAATGCCATTTCACGAAATTTAGGCATAAATACGAGTGCTGTCACTATAGAAGCGATTAACAATGCAATGCCTAGGATAACATAAGCTGTAATAATTATTAAATATAAGTCTGTATTTTATTCACCTTCATAACAATACATAGTGCCATAAAGATAGATTTCACTAGGCGTACCTAATAAAGTGATGGCCGAAAGGAAAGAAACCATAATGCTGAGCGCTGTTGGAAACATCTTTAGGCAGATTAATAGAAAGAATTGTATTTAATTTCATAGTTTTACTTACTCCCATGCCCCCATCAGCTGTAAAAGAGATAGAGAAATATCATTTTGAATACTATATTAAACGATAATATGATTCATACCCAGTAGAAACTCTTTAGCTGAACTTTTCTTCGATTTAAAACATCCGAATAAAATACCAATGACAGCCGAGGATAGAAGAAGTAGGACGAGAAGAACATAATCAACAACGCTCAATGTACGCGATGCCATATCTCAAAAATTAATTCGATGGAATGCACACAATTGTATGAGATCCGAATGGTCAAACAGCTGTATTGAAATGGCTTTTGATATCTTGTATATGAGCAGCGCTTGATTAAAATAAGTTTCTTTCTCTCGTATTTTGGTCGTTATGAAAAGAGAAAAGAAACAACTTGAGATTATAGTTAAAGGTAGATAAATACACCAGATTAATAGCACGTTTCTATTTTGAAATAGTATTTTTTTCGAATAAGAAAGAAACGAAGTTTAACGATCATAAGTCAATCATTTGATGATAATATAAATGTCAGGGACTCGATGGTGAGCTTGTATCGTAGCGTAAATCAATAAAGCAATGCGTAGTGAAAGAATCACAAAAAAACAGCAATCAGCCATTATTCACGATAAACTACTTAAAGCAGTGAGGAAAAGTTTTAAAACAACATTGTTTCTTTTCATTCTGTTCAAAGACACGAGCTAAGAAAGTCTTAATGATTGATATAACTTGGCAGGATCTGCGGTCGCTAAGTGCATATACAAGGACTCCATAGATTCTAATCTTCAGGTCACAAAGAAGCTTTCATTTTTTCTCAGCGGAAAATGATTAAAAAAAATACACTCGTGTGCTATCGTGCTTTGTTCGACATGACAAGTAATAGTTCTGTTATTGAAAAGATTATTTGAAAGACCAGAACGTAACCGACACAATATATTAATTTGCTTTAAAAAATCATCATCTTAGAGTAAGTTAAAAATTCAAATTCCAAAATTTATAAAGCCCCCCCCCCCCCCTATATCATGTTCAGGAAATAAGCCAGATTTTTCGTAGTTACTAGGCGTCTCAAGCGAGCACAAAAACCTACATCGAATGAGATATTTTAAATGAAAATAATAGGTTTTCTTCATGACCTGTTATAAATCTTTGATTTATTTCAATACCAGGTAGGTTTACTATTTGAACTATTTTCTTTAGTTTTTCAGGTCCTACACTTACTTTTGTCATTGAGTCTGATAGAGTGCAAAATTCTCTACAAAAATCATGCGCTTTGGAGTTATCACACATGTGAACTCAACGCGAATCTGATTGACGTTTCTATGTTTATGAAAGCGTTGGCTCACCGAAAGTTTAAATTAACTGTTACTGTTGGGGATAATATATTTTGTCAAAAGATCGATCAGACTCGCACTAAGTTCACATATATGTGATTATTTCAAAGCACATGATTTTGTAGAGAATTTTGCGCTTTATCAGATTCAATGACAAAAGTATTTGTAGGGTCTGAAAAACTGAAGAAAATAGTTCAAATAGTGAATCTACCTGGCTTTAAAGTAGATCAAACATTTATAACAGTCAGTGGAGAAAAACTTTTTGTTTTCATTTAAGATGTGGGTGTGGAGCGTGTGGGTGAGGTGTTGGATATGATGAGATGAACCCCTCCTCCCCGTCCCCAATACACCCACACCTAGGGTTGTGCAGTTTCAGTTTACTAATCACCGACGGCACTGATAGGGATGCAACAAAACTTGAGATAGATTTGGATTTGTAGTCTAGGTTTGAGCATAGGTTTGGATTTGCTCATCATTGGCTCAAATTCCAGAGGATTTGGCAAGATATGGTGTCATTAACAACACTGTACTGTACTAGGGGTGGGATAGAATCAGAAAAATATTTTGGCATGTGGGACCGAATCCAAATCCAAACACAAACGGTTTGAGACCGAATCCTAATATCTTTTTCTGCTTTTACCTCATGCCTAGTAGAGTAGTCTGTTGTTTGTAACACCGTATCTTACCAAATCCTTTGGAATTTGGGCCAATGATGAGCAAATCCAAACCTAGGCCCAAACCTAGACTACAAAACCAAACCCGAACGCAAATGAAATCCAAACCCAATAGTGCCAAACCCAAAACGTTTGGGTTTATTGCATCCCTAGGCACTGATGCAGTGGCCACTAAAACACTGCCATCGGTGTCACCGACACTGTGATTACACTGGCACTGACGTTCAGTGAAACACCGACGAAGCACAGCACTGTTCACTGAAACATAGAAACTCCCTGGAGCACTTCGGCTAAGTGAAACACTGATAGCACTGACACCGGCGTTCAGTGGAACGCTTACACACCGACGCTTTCGATTGACTAAAATTTATACACAGAATACTACGACATCTTCCAGAAGGAAAATATGGATGCACAGAACGTTTTCACTGGATAAGAACTAATAATGTTATTGGTTTTTCAGATATTTCTAGAGCTGGATGTGAGATGTGGGTGTGGATGTGTGTGTTGGTAGATGTGGGTATGAGTGTAGAGTGGGTGGTGTGAATCTTGGCGTGGTTGGATGTTATTGCAGCAAAAGACAAGACTCACACCCAGCCCACACCCACCCATACCCATACCCCACACCCATATCACACCCACCCACACCCGAGTAGCTAGCCGCCACCCTCGGCAATAATGTTTATTAAGCTACTTTACATATCCAGAGTGTGCCTTCTTCACATACAACACACGTATATATACGAGAGACAAGGAGAAAGATAGATGAGCATAGATTAGAACAATGGAGAGAGAACAGAGAGAGAAGGAACGAAAATCATCGGAGCGTGTAATCAATATCGGCACAAAAGGTTAGCTTGATGAGTGAATAATACTTTCAAAGAGAGCGACTAATTATCTTTGAACAAATAAGATCAAAAAAAGGTTCAACTTGGTACGGAAAAAGCAGTACAATATCAAATGTTCTGCAATAGCGATATAGAGAAACGAAGGAATAAAATAGATAGTCTACTGGCTGATGAAACGAAGACAGCGTTTCTAATAGAAATCTGAAACAAAAAGTCAAATGACACTTTATATTTGCAATCAAAGTGTAAAATGACACTTTGTTTTTTTAAACAGAGTGTCACAAAGTTTCCAAAGTGCAAAGTGTTAGAATTTGATTAAAGAAAAAGAAATATTTAATATAAATTTGTTACAGATATTCGACTGACAGAGAGGCGCACATCCCACTCTTGTGAAATTCGCGTTNTATTAAGTGATTCAAAATTGAAATACAAAATGTAACCATATAATTTGTCACATCCGTAAGTTAAGTTTTCAACAAAAACAGTTTCTATCGACATTTTATTATTATAGTACCAGATGAATAGAGATGAAATAGTACAGAAAAATAGAGTTTTGTTTTTTCTATCATTTCATAAAAATAGAAAATTTCCCAAAGCCTTCTATACGACAATAAGGTACTTCCGCCACTACTTTTGGGTACCTCTAAGTAACTTTTGGAAATAGCCGCGCATGACTTTCTTTCCATTTCATTAGTTTTACGTCTATAGATACTACTTAGTGTTCTAATGAAAACCTCAAACAGTATTGAGATTTGACTAAACTATCAAATTTTGATATACCTGTTTCCTAGAAATAGTCTTCATGGCTGAGTAGCTACTGACCTACTCGTATTCACAAGATGCTGTGCTCGGATCTCGGTACTATCTGACATGGAGTGAACCTGGATAAGCCACTAACGGCTATTTGTTTCAGATAACTCATTCAATAGCATAGTGACTACGTTCTGACATACACTTGCTCTTGTGTTTAGTTAGTGTGTACAGGAATCTGAACAACTCAGTGTCAGACTGGTTTTCAGTTCAGAGTTACATCTAGTATTTGTTATAGAGAAGATATAAGGATATTCTTCTTTTCTTTTTTCCATTTTGTTATTTTTTTATAAAAATAAATCGATAGTAATGATACCTTGAAAGATACGAGTTTCAAATTTAGGTTGATTTCCTGCAAAGAAGACATGTGGTGTATCAGTAATTATAAATGGATCATTTTTAACATATGGATAACAACCTAAAATACGAAAAGAGTAATTTTATTATTAAATAATTATTTGATCATACTTAATGTATCAGGACATGTTGGTGCAATAGCACACCATTTAAGGCAATTTTCAAGTATTTGAACACGATTATCAATAGTTGATTGAAGATCAATATCATCTAAATTTTGTCCTGATGTTCCAAGAAAACTAACAAAATAAATCTTATATATAATATAACTAAAGAAAAATTTCTATTACCGAATATCACCAATTTGAAAATCATATGGATTTGTAAGACAATGTGTTGTTTTTCGTTTACTTGATGATGGAAACATACATGGATGTAATGGTTGTTGTGGTAACATATGACAACTAAAATTAAGAAAAATTTATTTTTAAAATTATTTATTTTTTTCTTACAATTTACCTTGGATCATTTACACCCGGCATTATATCAATATCAGTTATTGCCTAAGAAATTAAATCATAACAATGAAACTATCGACAATAAGAAGAAAAAAAACATACAGCAATTTTATCAAATAATTCGTCAATACTATGCATTGCTTCAACACTACTTGCTGTCATTTTTCTTGTTAAATATTTAGCCTTTAAAATATATTAATCGTAATTATTCAAAAAGAAATATGACTAACTTGATTTGTTGATTCTTTTAAACGATTTGAACTTTCAATTAAATTACCAGCAACAACAAATCGAATAATATTACTTAAAATAAATTTTATTTGTTCAGATTGAATATTTGTTGTTTGTGTTAATGAATTAACAAGATATTCAAGTTGATTAAATATTATTGAAGTTTCAGATAAAAGAAAACCCGATGTAAATAAAATAAATCTAAGAAATATATTTAAAAGAATTTTTTTTTTTCATACTGTAATTTATTCTTACTTATCCTCTTTTAATGATGATAATTGTTTTGGAATTGAAAGATTTTTAAAACAATAATCTTTAACAATAAATACACCTTTCTCATTTTCATAACCATGTACTGCTATGACAATACCTATTAAAAATAAATATATCAATAACTACTTCATTGTGAATTTTAAGCATAAGTCGTACGAAACATGCAAGACTAATATCAGTGATTTTTAGTCGATATTGATGCACGGATTTTTTGATCATTTGTATATTGAAGTGTTTTACTCGATTTTTGAACTATGAACATAAAACCCACTAAGAACCTGAGTAATCGAATTTCAATCTAAAATTTAGTCTACATATAGGTCTTATACTCATTAGAAATACCCGAAAAGGTTGAGTCAAGACAATGTGCATTATTGTAGACCACAATGAGTTATGAATATCCTGACGAGATTTCGTATCCTTAGCTTATTGTTGCTGAGACACACTATTACTGTTTTTGTGTACTCAAAAAGTGAGTACACTCTAGAATCGGTCAGTGTGTCCGGCCGTCCGTCCGGCCGTTAACACGATAACTTTTGAAGGGAGAGTCCAATCGCGATGAAATTTTCTACACAGTTCAGTCTTAACAATGTCTCGGTCGAGTTCGAAGATGAGCAGGATCCGTCAAGAAATGGCTGAGTTATCGAAAAAATTGTCATTATTGAGAAGACCATCCCTGAGGGGGGGTACAGGGATTTTTTCAAAAAAAAAATTTTTTCTCAGAATTATTCACAACATATATAAATCGACTCAGTTTTTAACGCTGATTCCGAATCTGATATTAGTTTTGAACCAAATCGTAGCTTTCTAACAAAACATCCCATGAAAAATGTCTCAAAATGCAGAAAAACTGCATGCAAAAAGCAAATAGGCTAAATATGGCTCAGTTGATAGAAAACAGTGAATATATCTCTTCACTTTTCGCAGTACACATAACACTCGGATTTAAATCCGAGGTTTTCGCATTTATTGTAATTTAGGATAGAAACAGTGACAAGATCTAAAACATTCACGTTAAGACCTGTCTCTATGTAATGTTTCAAGACGAAATTAAAAAATCAATTTTTCTGTTAGAATAATAAAGGTTAAAAACATATTGTAAAAGTGCAATCTATCCGTAGCGATCAGCTAAGAGGACGAATTCTTGTCAGGATATTCATAGTTCATTTATTTTTGAAGAAATACCTAATTTGAATTCGAAATTCGGTTACTAAAGTTCTTAATGATTCTATGTTCATAATTCAAAAATCGAGTAAAATGCTAATAGCTCAACAAGCAAAGACTGTAAAGCCAGAAGAAATTTCTTCGCTACTCATCATAACCGATTGAATAACTATAGTCTCAAATGAAAAGTAATTCAAAAGTTGGAAGTATTCTCTTATTGATCTGACGCTAGTTAGTTAGACAAATCCACATAAGCATAAATAATATCTAATTCGAAATTTAATAATTAAACGTTGAATCCGATAGGTTCTAGTTAGTGCTTGAACAAAATATTTCTTCTGTTATTTTTTTCTTTTCTATAAAATCCATTATATATGTATATATATATAATTTATTTACCAGTAACAAATTGATTAATATCAATATTTCCATCAAGTGTAATTCTTTGTGTTTCTTCTTCAAGAATTAATTGATCAGTTCGATCAACGTAACGTTTATGAGGTGGTTGTAAATTGAAACCATTCTACGAAAAAATAAAATAACAAATTTATCTTCTGTTAGTAAAAGACAAAAAAAAGATAATTTACTTACTTCAGTTGCTAATTGTTTAATAATACTTGGTTTTAAAATCATTTGTTTAAATAAAATTCCAATAAGAATACATTCTTCATCTAATATAAGATCATTCATTCTTTTAATTGGTATTTTTGAATCTAAAATATTCGAATGAATATAAATTGTTTGTTTTTCTTTGTATTATATAAACAAACTCCAATGATTTTCAGCTGCTTTCATAACCATTTTTCGCATTGCTCCAAGACGTTCAGCATAAAGATGAGCATATTGAACATCAAAATTACGATTTGTTAATAAAAATCGATCAGATAAATTAATCCATTCAGTTTCATGAGTCGGTTGTACTTGATTTGTTGTAGATGGACATACAATAACTGTTGGTTTTTGTGGTGAAAGAACTACTTTGGCTGATGGTATTGGTTCTGGTGATGGTAATTTTGAGATTTCTTTTTCTTTTTTTATTTCCTTTGTTTCGATAGTTGGTGTTGATTTAGGTTTAGACGCTGTTGATTCAGTAATTGTTGATTGTGCAGGATTTTTAAAAAATGATGTTATCGATTTCTGATTCTTATTACTTTTTGACATGATTATTAAATAAGGTAAATCTTAAAATATAGAAAAAAAAAATATATATTTGAGTTAATAAAGTAAAGATTAAAATAGATGTTAACCATTTGACGGCGGGGACGTGTATAAACGTCCAAATCGACTGTATATAGATGTCTCCCGTCCTCAAGAGGTTAATACAATCATTAAAAAAAAAAAAAATAATATCACGGCACTTAAAAGTAATACAAAAAACTCTATAATGTAATATTTTTTTTCAAATTAAAATGTTGTGCATCAACAATATTCGATGATGATGTAAGTCTTTGTTCATTGTTTGATAACACCAATATCCATTGATCACTACCCTATAATCGTAAAGAAAAATAGAATTAAATATATATTTAAAAAAACAAAGCCAAGAAAAATACTCTTGTTTACATAGCTCGATTATCATGCAGCTTTTCGTTTATTTCGAATGTTAACAATATAGAACAAAATAAAAAAAACAAAAACAAAAACAATAAAATGAGTAGTCGATTTGCTAACTTAAATTCTATATGTACTGTGTTCAATATAATTCTAATCAGAAAACAAACAACAAGTTATCGAATTCATGATCTATAATCAATGTTAATACAAGCATTTTGTCAATATTACGATATGAAAATGAGATTACTAATTTTTCATGCAATATGATATATCATATGCATGTATACCCACCAAATATAAAATGAAACTTGTATAATATTAATTAATTTTCACAATGTACCTTGGGTATTGGATATCCTTTTGCAATGCAATATTCTTTAAAACCACAACGAACAATTGAACAATCAGTTTGATCACGAATTTTACAATAAAGACGAATATCATGTTCACGAAATGTTTGTGGTAAAAGTGTAGAAACCTATTCACGGAAGAAGTATATTCATACATAAAAGAATTTATTATGTCAAACCTGTTCTTTTAATATCTTTGTTGCTGTGTTCGGACAAATTTTTGTATAAAACCACATATTTTGAATTGGATCCTCACCTCGATCACCACACGTTAATTCAACTGTCTAAAAATATTCGAAACATAAGTATAGGCTCTGGTCATGTATCTATGGATTAGAATAGGATGAGAATGTATAGACACTGACACAGTGTGGGTTCAAAAAAAAAAAACTTCATTAGGATCAGTCATAAGGAAAGTTCTCCTTACTGATTAATCCCTTCGGAGGTCGTACTATGTGCATCATAGATACTCTGAAAAGAGTTTGGACTCTTAGCTTATTGCTGTTGATGTACTGTACTTTCACGGTATTTTTAAAATCAATAATATGGTCATTCTCAGACACATGAGGAAAATTCGTTTTCGTATTGATGAAATTTTGATTATAGTTTGGACGAAGAGAAGATCTTCACCCGCATCCTCATGCCATCGATGATCACAAAAGTTTGTCTAAAAGATGTCTCACTGTCGCTTCTGAATCCTGATGGCCTTAGGACATCTCTGATAGTAATATTATTTCTAATCAATATTTACCTGTATAACAAGATCATTTGGTGTAATATTCAATATACTTCCATCAAATTGACAATATTTGATAATATCTTGACAAGTATTCTTGCTTGGTTTCTAAAATTCAATCAATTTTCGAATTCATTTTTATCTTTATATTGATTTTTAACCTGTTTTAAATCCGTGGTAAATTTAACATGTGTATTTCCAAGATATCGATAAATTTCTAGACAAAATTTTTCATGATAAGATATTTAATTTAAAATAGTTATTCGTACCTCGACGTTCAATTTTTCTAATGATTTCTTTTGCTTTAGACATATTTGGATGATGTGAATGTTTTATTAATGTTATTATATGATCATCAACTTGACTGAATGTATACATATCATCAACGGTTTGAGCAAGACGAGTATCACATCGTCTTAAAAATTCAAATTAAATATTTAATTAAAAAACAAATTATAACTTTTTATTTTACCCTGCTGCATTGGAAAAGAGTAAATAATCATTAGCGGCAATTAATGCTTCTTTAAACCTATGAATTAAAATAAGTTTTACAACATTATTATCAGTATCAGAATTTAAGGCACTCAGATACTTTTTGAATAACTTTTCATAGGAAAAAGTAGAGACCTGTAGTTTTTAACATGTGATAATCAATACTTATGGACATATTTTCATAAACAAAATTTTTTGTGGGAAAAAATTTGAAGACCACGTTAGGCTTATGAAAATTGCCATAGAAGTCTATTGGTTCTTTTTTACTTGAGTAGATTGTCCACAAAGTTTCCTATAAAATTAGGTCCGTATAGATGCTTTATCTTTCAAGGTTTAGAAATATCAGGCTGTCTTCTTGAAGCCTTAAGGACTGCTCTTTCTTTAGGTGTGGCACTATAAAAAACACACGAAAACATAGATTATTGACTATGCTTTGATGTGTTTATAATAATGCTATACATAAAGAAAGAGAAGTCCTATGGCTTCTTGGAAACTGCCTGATACTTCTAAATTTTTCAAGATGAAACGTTTGTACACATTCAGTTTCGTATGGAACACTATGAACTTTCTTCTGCATAATATAATCAATGGACTTCTATACGATTTTCAGATATCCCTTGAAAAATTAGCCTTCGGATTTTTTCCAAAAAGAAACTTTGCTTATAAAAATATGTCCCTAGGTCTTGATTATCACATGTTGAAAAAACCATAGATCTCTATCTTAGAAAATTATTCAAAAAACTTCTAATGCTTTCAATTCTGTCGGTGATAGTAAAATGATAAAATAGCATTTATTTTTACATTAATTCAATTCCTTTGACAACTGGATGTTGATAAGCACGTCGATGAAGATCATCACGAATTCGATAAATATCATAACAAGCTTTAACTTCCTTACAAAAATTAAAATTTTTTTATTTATTTATTTAGATAATGAAAGAAAAAAATCAATTACTTTATCACGTAAACATAAANTTTCTTTCGATGTGGCACTATAAAAAACACACGAAAACATAGATTATTGACTATGCTTTGATGTGTTTATAATAATGCTATACATAAAGAAAGAGAAGTCCTATGGCTTCTGGGAAACTGCCTGATACTTCTAAATTTTTCAAGATGAAACGTTTGTACACATTCAATTTCGTATGGAACACTATGAACTTTCTTCTGCATAAGATAATCAATGGACTTCTATACGATTTTCAGAGATCTCTCGAAAAATTAGCCTTCGGATTTTTTCCAAAAAGAAGTTTTGCTTATAAAAATATGTCCCTAGATCTTGATTATCACATGTTGAAAAACCCATAGATCTCTATCTTAGAAAATTATTCAAAAAACTTCTAATGCTTTCAATTCTGTCGGTGATAGTAAAATGATAAAATAGCATTTATTTTTACATTAATTCAATTCCTTTGACAACCGGATGTTGATAGGCACGTCGATGAAGATCATCACGAATTCGATAAATTTCATAACAAGCTTTAACTTCCTTACAAAAATAAAAAATTTATTATATTTATTGAGATAATGAAAGAAAAAATCAATTACTTTATCACGTAAACATAAATGACGTCTACCATTATGAACTTTAATTACTCGATAGAATTTAATAAAACGCATATGTTCAAATGAGATTTTCGTTCCCAAATAATATGAATCACGTGCAAAATAATCAAATTTATCAACATCAATACCAGTTAATTTGTTAGATACAATCTAAATAAAAATACAATAATCAATTATTTATTATTATTTTTTTGAATAAATTAATATTCATACCTCGTAAAGAAATGATTTGCTTATATCTCGACCTTTGTATGGCCAAATCTTTAACAAAATAAAAAATTTCTTAAACGTAATATAAGAATATAAAAGACATAATATTCGTTATAACAAACTGTGACCTTTTACCATACTTTTCAGTCAAATATAACCGGAATGCAAAAATTATATGTGAATGATTTCATTCGTTAGCAACTATCACTGAACTTGAACATGTCTTTTTACTGAAATTTATGTAATGAATGCTCTAGATATCCTAAGAAAAGACTTAATCGAGTAGATCTTTGTTCTGCTGAGTAATTATAGAAAAGCTAAGGTAAGCGACATGCCACAAAAAAAGAAGAAAAGCTTGCGTTGCACCTGTTTTTTGTTTCTGAAGAACCAATTTTGATGAGACAACTTTTCCGAGTCTAATCTTGTTGGACATTTCATCATAGATATAGTTACTGACGTGAAGTCTATTTCTCAATTTCTTCTACGTGTTCATCATAAGATTAAAGAATTATTTGCTCATTATATTTTATCTAATTAAGTTAGATATCAGTTAAAAGAGTCAATATTATTAGACATATTCACGGCAAAAAATACTTCTTCAAAAAAATAAACCCTATTAAGAATCAAAGTCGAATTGAAGACGATCATGTTTTGCTTTAGCTGATTTCGCCGGTATATATGTATCGCATTCGATCATATCTGACTTGAAAGCATGATAAAGAGTGTTACTTTTCTATGATTAATTTTATCTATCATATGAGAAAAGAAGATTACTATCAAAATCAACATGTCTAAAAGCTGTTTTATTTACCGAGAAATTCTAATAGTAGCTTGAGAGAGGCAACAAGCACCCATCGGGTAGGTAAGTCTTGAACCTACGTCCGATTTGATAGATGTTACTCTGCAAGTAAGAGCCAATTAGTACTTGATTCTTATACCATTACTCTCATGATTGCGCGAGAGCTTTGTATGGATGCCATTTACCAAATACAAATAATTGGAAAAAAAAAGTATCTTATACTTTCGAAACAACTATCCGGTTCAGATCCAAAAAATTTGAATCAACCGACTTTGAAAAGCCACTAATAAATTGAATGTCAGTTCGAGTCAAAAACTCTATAGTAAGCACTACAATGAGTACTTGTCAAGTCAATCTTGAAACGAAAAACTAAATCAAATCATTATCGAAGATAAAATTTGAATCTTTTAGTCAATGATTTATCTTATAATAAATGATCGGAAAATTATTACACAAGATGTTTCTTTATTGTTGACCTATAAGGAAATATTTCCCATGAATTAAGATCAGAATTTTATGGTCTTTTCAAATATAGATCTAGAAATTTTGTTCGAGACCAATGAAATAATAGTCTTTGAAGCCTTGTTTTTTGTCTTTCGACAAGCGATCTCAATTTTTGTTTTTCCTAAGTATTCATTTCTGAAAAATGGAGAATCGTTTTAGTTGAAAGGAACTCTTTTGGAGAGAAATGTCCGTTCAATAATTTTTAGCATATTTGAAAAGGTACTTACACAGACAAGAAATCTATATGACAAATGTCGCCAAACTGACTAATGGCTTTTTAATCAGGACCATGTGCATCATGTAGATTCTAATAAACTATGAACATCATGAAAACTGACTTTTGAATTTCAACTTAAAACTTTCCAGGCAAACAGATCTAATTTTCATTAAGTCCTGGATCGATGCAAAGTTTCAAATCAGAATTCGAATATCAACTTTTCCAATAGTCCTGAGGGGAGCACGACTTTTCAATTAAAAACTATCATAAAAATGCAATATCTTCGGCTCAAAAGTGATTAATCATCTAGGAAACTTTCATCGCGAAACAAAATTTCTAAGCTCCTATTCGACAAGAGCATAAAATTCTCCTCCTAATTCATCGGCAATACTCTCTAGCGAGCCGAAAAGTGAACAAACATCTTGTCTAAAAACGTTTCCGATCACCAGTTATATTCCTGATATTTGTTCTATTTTCAATTATAGACTAACCTGATTACTTTCTTGTTCATTTAATTCACTGAAAATAAGTTCATTTACAAAAATAATATCGATCTCATTGAGACCAACTTGTTCAAAAAATGGCTTTAAATTATTTTTTTCAATCATATAATTAAACATTTGAACTGAAGCATATTCATGCTAAAATATAATTGTTTAATTTAAATTATACAAATAAAAATGACTTACTTTCCAACGTAATTGTGGTCGAATTTCTGCAATAACATCTTCGAACATATGAGAAAATGGGCCATGACCTATGAGAAAAAAAAAATCATGCAAATAAATTTACAATTCATTCATAGAATATTAACCAAGATCATGACAAAGAGCAGCCATTTGAACACATAAAGTATCTTTATCTGTTATATTCAATTCCGGTTGTTTTTGACGAAGATGCATCAATAATTCCCCAGCAAGATAACATGTTCTAAAAAATAAATACATTTATCAATTTGTATGACATGATGAATTAGATTTTCTTGTGTTTTTTTTCTTAGTTACCCAAGTGAATGTTCAAATCGTTGATGACATGCACCAGGAAATACATAATATGATGCTCCAAGTTGTTTAAGACGTCGAAGTCTTTGAAATTCTGGTGTATCAATTAATTTAACAAGTAACCAATGTAATTCGATTGAACCATGAATAGGATCATTAAAAATCTATTTGAAATAGATTAAAAAACAATAACACAATTAAATAATTCTTTTGAAATACTTTTGTATCTTGAATTGAACTAAAAACACACGAAAAATTTTTTCTTTTTCTTTTCAATTAAAATCAACTGACTTTTCTTGATATGGATCTAACAGTATTGGTGATATTTCAAGATCACTTGTTATTTCTGATTTATGTCGTTTCGCTAATGGAGAATCTTCACTGTCAGACATATTTCAAAACTATTATTTACATCTGAAGATAATCAATATTTTATTTTGATCACAATTAAATTATCGTATTTTTAATAATTAAAAAAATTACAAATAAAAAAAAAACGAATCAAAAACAAATAATCTTAGATGAATGAATAAATTAATATGATGACTGAACATATTGCAAGTCAAACCTAAAAACAAATAATAAACAGAATTTATCAAATATCAATTTCCTACAAAAACTACTGGCATATAGTTTGATATTTAAACGGTTGGCTATTCTCTAACCTTCCGGTCAAGAAAATATGGTTGCAAGCGATCGTTCTGAATTTTTTTTTGACGTTTCATAACTCAAATCAATAATTCCGGCTCTCGGATCCCTAAGTTTTCGGTGGATTCTCGACGAAAAGATGCCATTTTCGCCCGAAAAACTTTGAAAATGCTCAGGTCAAGAGAAACAGCAAAAACGTCTCGAAATGACCCAAACATGTTCTAAACGTTACGTGAATACTGTGCCTATCAAATGTTGATTTACGATTGTAAGATGAGTGAAACGACAGTATATAGTATCACTTTCGATCTACTCGGGGACCACAATTACTATCCTAGAGAGCAATCTACTACCGGTATTCTGATAGTAGTGAGAAAAGAAAGGAGCATGACACGGATTTCTTACCATTCGTTGATTTCTTCACCTTGACTGTCAAGGTTATTCAATGAAATTGACATCTTAATTTTAAAAAATAAAAATTAATAATTGATGATTTTTGTTCTGAAGCAATTTTTCATACCTCTCGATCTCGTGATGCTGCTGGATCAGTATTATTGGTTGCATAAACGTATAAATTATGTTTAGTAGCATTCTCAAATGTTGTACAAAATGTCATTGGTTCTTTCCATGGAATAGGTGCATTTTCTACTAAAACTCTTATATGTTGTTCTGTAACATCTTCATTATTATGCGGTCCAATTAATGTAAATTTTAGACACATTTCAGGTGAATATACTTGTTCAGGTTCTATTAAACCTTGAACACTAAGAATTTTAACAATTAATTTACTTTGTTCATTATCATATCGAATTGATAAATGTAAACGACTAGATTTTGAATCTGGATGCACAACTGAATCATATCCATGTGCATTATTTTCATGTTCATTTGTAATATCATCAGCAGGTTTATTAAATACTTCTGAATCATCTTGATGTACATTATCGTAATGTTCAACTTGAATATTATCAGCAGGTTTATTAAATACTTCTGAATCATATTCATTTGTAGCATCCTCAGCAGGTTTATTGAAAACATCTAAATCGTTTTTTAGCAATATGTGAAGGTAAATCTTCATCTTGTAAACTATTATCGATTTTTGAAAAAAAGGCGCTTCACAAAAATGCTTATAACTTTTGAAGAAAATGTGATAGAGACCTACGGTTTTCACCGTTGGATAGATCTCTGTACGGGACGTGATACTATTGAATAATCAAGCCTTCTGATCAGATTTACTATACAAAGTCTTTGAATGCAAAATGTACAAGATTGTCGTTTCCAGAAGGTATAATGAATTTTGGTTTCCTTGAACAACAATCGATAGCCCGGGTCGAGATCAACAATTCTAGACTAGCCCCAGTTCTGTATCTCTTACGGTTCGAAAGTTACGAGCATTCTTCAGAAAGGTATATATTTCTGTTTGTACATAGAAACTATCCAAAAATTTGGTGGTATTTTGAGGTTTTGATTGTCAAAAGGTATTTTTGATGCAAAATAAACATGATATTTGAAATCAGCGTGAAAAAGCACACCGAAAACTCTAGTTTTTATTGTAAACTATTTCCTATCAGAATTTGACTCCTACTCCCCCTTAGCTTTTTATTCCTTAAATGTTTCGCTGTGGTCCCCTACGGGTCACATTTTCGTAGAAAATATTTCACAATAAAAACTAGAGTTTTCGGTGTACTTTTTCACGCTGATTTCAAATATTATGTTTACTTTGCATAAAAAACACCTTTTGACAATCAAAACCTCAAAATACTACCAAATTTTTCGATACGTTCTATGTATAAACAGAAATATATACATTTCTGAAGAATGCTCATAACTTTCGAACCGTAAGAGATACAGAACTGGGGCTAGTCTAGAATTGTTGATCTCGACTCGGGCTATCGATTGTTGTTCAAGGACACCAAAATTCATTATACCTTCTGGAAACGACCATCTTTTACATTTTGCATTCAAAGACTTTGTATAGTAAATCTGATCNTAGGAAACAGTTTACAATAAAAACTAGAGTTTTCGGTGTACTTTTTCACGCTGATTTCAAATATCATGTTTACTTTGCATAAAAAACACCTTTTAACAATCAAAATCTCAAAATACTACCAAATTTTTCGATACGTTCTATGTATAAACAGAAATATATACCTTTCTGAAGAATGCTCATAACTTTCGAACCGTAAGAGATACAGAACTGGGGCTAGTCTAGAATTGTTGATCTCGACCCGGGCTATCGATTGTTGTTAAAGGAAACCAAAATCCATTATACCTTCTGGAAACGACAATCTTGTACATTTTGCATTCAAAGACTTTGTATAGTAAAACTGATCAGAAGGCTTGATTATTCTATAGTATCACGTCCCGTACAAAGATCTATCCAACGGTGAAAACCGCAGATCTCTATCACATTCTCTTCAAAAGTTATAAGCATTTTTGTGAAGCGCCTTTTTTTCAAAAATCGATTATAGGTGAATCAGATTTTTCGTATATTATTGTACCTGGTGATTGATGTTCAGAAGTAATAATATGTCTTTCAGAATCATAATTAAATGTTTCATTTGGTTCACCACAATATTTTGGTTTATCATTATCTAAATCTTGGATATTTGATGAATTGTGTTCTTCATCCGTTTCTTTCTGTTAAGAATAATAATGATTCTTTAATTTTTTTTTAAATACAAAAAACTTGTATTTCTCTTACATCATTCTCTTCATAGGTCATCCAAGAAACGATATATAATAAAATAGTAATTATCGAACATATAGTCACTGCCATGCATAAGTCACAAAAATTTATAGTCATTTTTAGTCTTGGACTCTGAAACAAACACTATCAATGTGCAATAGAAAACGATACCGCAACTGTGTAATATGATAGTGAAGCTTCACATTAAATCTATTGGTTATTCTTAACCTTCTGATAGATGTCATTTTGAATTATAAAAAACAAACTATTATTTTAATATAAAAATTTCTTTAAAGTTTTTTTTTTTAATTTTTAAAAATATAAAATAAAATTTTTATTGAAGAGAAAAAAAAAATTTCTATTTCTAAGTGAAGGTTAACGAAATAAATGTGAAAAAATAAACAAGATGACGGCGAATACGAATCGAGATAATTGTATTCATTATTAATATTTACAACACAAACAAAAACTCTATAGTATACGTTCATCTCGATATTTTTGTTGATTTTAGATCTTTTTTTTAAATGCCGGCAAAAGCAGCTCAACCAAAAAAGAAAGAAAAAGAAGCATCCGGTGGATCATCTGGTGCTAAAGCTAAAAAGAAGAAATGGTCGAAAGGAAAAGTTCGCGATAAACTTAACAATATGGTTAGTCGTTTTTATCTCATAGTATTTTTTTTTTCAATTGAAAAACTTCTATATATATATTTTTTAGGTCTTATTCGACAAACCAACATATGACAAATGTGTGAAAGATTTGCCACAATATAAATTAATCACACCGGCTATTGTTTGTGAACGTTTTAAAGTTCGAGGTTCTCTTGCTCGTTCAATAATACGTGAACTTGTTCGTCGTGGTCTTATTCGATCTGTTGTTAAACATAGTAGACAAGAAATTTATACACGATCAACAAAAGAAGATGCACCAGGTGATCAAGATGCTGGTAAAGAAGGTGCTAGTGAAAAGAAAGAAGGTGGTGGTGGTAAAAAAGGTGGCAAAAAAGCAGCTAAAGTCGATGCAGCAGCTGTAGCTGAAGAAGCTACCGCCGAATAAATCCATATTTAAACATCTTCTATAAAAATAACAGTTTGTTTGTTTTTTCTTGTTTTTAAAATAAAACATAAGAAGAAGAAAAAAAAAAAAACAGCAAAATCTATTAAAACAAGAATATTTATATGATAAACATTCAGGTGTGTTTTTTTTTCTAGATGTCTTCAACTTCAGCTAATAATCCACAAACTAAAAGAAAAGAAATTTATAAATATGAAGCACCATGGATGGTTTATGCTATGAATTGGTCGATTAGACCTGATAAACGTTTTCGTCTTGCTCTAGGATCATTTGTTGAAGAATATAATAATAAAGTAGAAAATAAAAACTTAAGAACTTTTTGAAATTAATAATTTTATATTTTTTTGTTTTGTTTTTAGGTACAAATCGTTTCACTAGATGAAGAAACATCAGAATTTTTAGCACGCTCAACATTTGATCATCCTTATCCAACAACAAAAGTCATGTGGATACCTGATACTGTAAAGAAAATTTAATAAAGATATTCTAATTGTTTTTTTGTTTTTATAGAAAGGTGCTTTTCCAGATTTACTGGCAACAAGTGGTGATTATTTACGTGTTTGGCAAACAGGAGATAGCGGTACTCGACTTGAATGTTTACTTAATAATGTAAGAATTTTAAAAAAGTCAATACTATTTTCGATAACACCTCCACAGATACAGAGTAAAAGATGAGGGAAGAGAAATAGTTCACTTCAGTATCTACTTTATATACCCCACTGGACTTTAATCGTTTAGGATGCACTAGTCACCGAATACAAAAAGCCAAAAAAAAGTGTCTCGTATCTTCGTAGCGGCTATTCAGTTCCGATTAGAAAATTTTGTAAATGATCTTTACTTTTTTTTTTTTAATGAGTATTACTTATTGGGTGATCGTTACATCGCTCTATCTGTAATAAATAATAAAATTCGAAAACAAACGACTTGAGCATACACTAATAATGAAATGCGGCTTTGATTGAAATCTAACATTTCTCTAAGAATTTAAAAATATTCATGCATTGAGATACAAAAAGAAATATTAAGCAGACGAACCATAGTTTGAACGGTATATGAAATTTTTCAAGATTGGATTTTTTTGCGATTATGCAAAACATAACTGACATCATAGGAAATAAATGCGGAAACTTCGGATTTAAACCCGAGAGTTATGTGTACTTCAAAAAGTGAATCATAAAAATCAGTCATCCTAGACTGTCTGAATATCAAAATTATACTGTGAAATCTACCATTTATAATGTTGATTTATATTGCGCGTTGCCAAACCAATAGGACATGGGACCGAATACAGCTCAAGTTTGAACTCTGCACCTTGATTTACCCTAAGAAAGTCGTTTTTCCCATAACTTCATTTCTATTGGTCACTGCGCAACTAATAGTATTTCGATGGAAGTGCAGTACACATTCGAGTTCTCCATATCTGAAAACCTCGAAGTATCATCAGTGTGACCGGAAGATAAAGCTCTATTTGTGGATCAATTAGATCGTGGACCAAAATATAACCTAGTTCTCTTTAATTATCTTTGTGATAGGTTAGTCAACGTTCTTGTTTCTTTATGTTTTATATATCATTTTGTAGTTCTTGAAATTCTCTATCGAATGGTATATAATAGTTGGGGTTTTAATTGACTATGATAGGAAAAGTCTTTTACGAAAGTCGCGATGGGTCCATTTTTCCACAGAAAGCTATAGGGAAAAATGAGTATTTTTGCAATAACTCAGGAACGGATCGACCGGTCCTTCTCATCTTCGAACTCGACTGAGGTATTGTCAAGACTAAGCTGTGTAGAAAGTTTCATCACAATCTGACTCTGCTGTCAAAAGTTATCATGTAAACAGCCAACCGGACGGACGGACACACTGACTATTCTATAGTGTACTCACTTTTTGAGTACACAAAACTATGATTCGGTTCAAAACTAATATCAGATTCAGAATCAGCGTTAAAAACTGAGTCGATTTATATATGTTGTGAATAATTCTGAGAAAAAAATTTTTTTTTGAAAAAATCCCTGTACCCCCCCTCAGGGATGGTCTGGTCAAAAATCACAATTTTTTCGATAACTCAGTCATTTCTTGGCGGATCCTTCTCATCTTCGAACTCGACCGAGATATTGTCAAGACTAAGCTGTGTAGAAAATTTCATCGCAATCTGACTTTCCTTTCGAAAGTTATCGTGTAAATGGCCGGCCGGCCGGACACACAGGCCGATTTTAGTAGTGTACTCACTTTTTGAGTACACTAAAAAGAACATTTCTTTAATTATCTCTTTGTTTTAATTTGCTATAGTCATGCAAGAACTTGTTATCATCTTTATGAAAATGAATTAATCTGTTAGCAGCTCGTATAGATACTATTATTTGAAAGAAATAGAAATGTAGTCCACTTATAGACCTGTGAAATTAAGTTTCTTGATTTCCAAAAAAAAAAAAAAGGTTTTCCGATGCAAGTATCTCTTTTAGACTGTATGTGTTTAATTCTCTTTCAATTTTTCTTTAGAATAAAAATTCTGATTTTTGTGCTCCATTAACATCGTTCGATTGGAATGAAGTTGATCCAAATTTAATTGGTACATCAAGTATCGATACAACATGTACAATATGGGGTCTTGAAGTAAACCATAAAAAAAAAAATAATAGTTTTTTTTTTTTATTTCTTTTTGTCTCTAGACAGGACAAGCTATTGGTCGAACAAATCCTGTTAGTGGACATGTTCGTACACAATTAATAGCTCATGATAAAGAAGTTTATGATATAGCATTTAGTCGTGGTGGTGGTGGTCGTGATATGTTTGCATCAGTTGGTGCTGATGGTTCAGTTCGAATGTTTGATTTACGTCATTTAGAACATTCAACAATTATTTATGAAGATCCTCAACATCATTCATTATTACGTCTTGCATGGAATAAACAAGATCCAAATTATTTAGCAACATTTGCTATTGATTCAATGGAAATTATTATTCTTGATGTTCGAATACCATGTACACCAGTTGCTCGTCTTAATAATCATCGATCAGGTGTCAATGGTATTGCATGGGCACCTCATTCAGCATGTCATATTTGCACTGCTGGTTAGTAGAATAAATCTGTTGAACGAAAAGAACAAAAATGTTTTTTTTGTTCTAGGTGATGATCGACAAGCATTAATTTGGGATATTCAACAAATGCCACGAGCTATTGAAGATCCAATTTTAGCTTATACAGCTGAAGGAGAAATAAATCAAGTACAATGGAGTACAACACAACCAGATTGGATTGCAATTTGTTTTAACAATTTTCTCGAAATATTACGTGTATAGTTTCATTTTGCTTTTTTTTTCTCGTTTATTGTAGACTAGTCCATTATTTTATCACTCTTTCTACATATATATATATATATATAATATAAATAACAAATGTGTTCAGATTCGTTTTCTCTACTAACTGTACAGTTCTTTCTTTTTTTTTTTTTTCTTCTTTCGTTTTCCTGAATGATGGAAATCTCACTTCCGACATATAATAGCACAACCTGTTTTCGTTCGTTTTCTTTTGTGTAACAAAAAATACGTAAATGAATTCATATTAAAACAAACTAAAAGATGGCGTAAGAATAAGAATATTGTTTTTTTTTTCTCTAATTTAAGCATCAATATGAAGGACAGTTTTCTGTTTGACACAACCAATCATAGCCACTTTATGACTATGCATATAAATAGTGTTGCAAACAGTGTGTTGTATGTCATTTTAGATTTTTTTTTGTTTGTTATATATTGAACTTCGATCATGTCTGGACGTGGCAAAGGTAAGTGAATTTTTTCGTGATAGAGAAAAATATAAGTTAGGAGAGTTGTCTTTTTTTTTTTATTCAGGTGGAAAAGGTCTTGGCAAAGGTGGTGCCAAACGACATCGTAAAGTACTTCGAGATAATATTCAAGGTAAGTGTGTGAAGTAGTAGAGAGTTCGAACTTGAAGTTTGATGCTTCTTTGTTGATTATTTAAGGCCTTTAGTAGAATGGAGTTAAAAAACCCTGGATGACTGAGGCTTCTTTTTGTTATGGGATTTAGCNTGGAGAAAAATAACTTCAAATTAGAAAACAAAAAAAAAGATTATTATCGAGTATATAGCAATAATTATAAATGAAATCGAGCGCGCTTAAATGAAAAAACAATATTTTCTTTTTTAATATACAAATAAATAATAAATTCCCGCTCTTTTCATCGATTCTCAAGGAAAACAACTATAGTTGACGAGAAGTCTTTCAGAATACAGATGATGCGTCAGGTAACAAAGATAAAGGTATACGTGAGTTCCACATTTCAGCTGCGCTAACAAGCTTTTTTCTTTTAACTCAAAGTTGTTATCACATGAAATATTGATTGCAAAACTTTTCTAGTATCTTCTATTCTGAGATATTTGAAATTCTCTCAACCCATTTTGATAAACGACGACTCGAATCGTCAAATCATTCTAGACTTTTCTATTACTCATTAAATAAACATTTTCTCGAATGAGAACTGATTTAACATCTGAAGAAATTCTATCTATAGTTGTAACGTTTTTTTTTTTATAACATGTTCAAATTTTTTTTTTTATAGGCATAACAAAACCAGCTATTCGTCGTTTGGCTCGACGAGGTGGTGTCAAACGTATAAGTGGTTTAATCTATGAAGAAGTACGTGGTGTATTAAAAATATTTTTGGAAAATGTTATTCGAGATGCTGTTACATATACTGAACATGCAAAACGTAAAACAGTTACAGCAATGGATGTTGTCTATGCTCTTAAACGTCAAGGTCGTACACTCTATGGTTTTGGTTCATAAAAACCACATAAAAAATTACGAATGAAACAAGCATAGATTTATTATCTACAAAAAAAAATGTCTTTGGCTGTTTAATGTTGTGTATGAGTACTTTAATTATTGTAAATTTCTTTCATTGTTCCTATTATGTTTTCATTTATCTTCTTCTGCATGTGTTGTATTGTCTAGAATTAAAGGGTTTTCTCTTTTGTTTATGTTTGCAAATAAAATAGAAAGTAAACGATGAAATTTCTCGGTCTACAAAAATACGTCAATCCACAACTCCCTACATTCCATATGATTATTCAAGCCGGAAAAAAAATCATCGGTAGGCTGCCGATTAGCCGGCAGTAATATGAACAAGGATGTAACACATGGGATATTTTATCAGTCAAAGTAAGAGATTATTGATAATGATCGAGCATCTCAAAATATAAATCGAATGATTTACTATTTGTTGATTACATAAAAGTATGTTTGTAATTAGTTATTTATCTGAGGATTTACTTTTCGTCGATGATTTGGACGAAGAGAAATGAACAATCAATGTATTATTAGAATAAACAAAGAGCAGTGGTTGCGCAATGTTTTGATCACCGTTGAAAATATCTTACAAGGGAAATCCTCCAAATGATTTATTGCTTTTGAGCTGTAAGTGCATATGCATCAAGTAGGCCATAATAGTTTATGAATATCCTGAAAAGAGTTCGAATCCATAACTTATTGCTACCGATATATTTCAATACAATGCTGTGATCCTTCTCAGGGGAACACCTGACATAAGTGGAAAAAATGCAATATGTTGACAACAATAAGCTAATGAACCAGAACTGTTTTTCAAGATATCCATAACCGATTAGGATCTACATCATGGACATAGTCCTATCTTAAAAGCGATTAATTAGTTATGAGACTTCGCTCATCATCTCAGCAATTTTCATGAATGTTGACATATCAATACGATCTACATCATAATGTTGCTACAATTTCATTAAATATTCATTTGCTATTACCTTTGAGTGTGTGTGAATGAATCTTCTCACCTCTTCATGCACATCCTATTAGAACTTTGCTCTGGTAAATCATTGGTTGTCGCAAGGACAACTCATTTATTGAATAGACTACATATTTCTAAATTTGATTGAACTTGAACGTTTTCTTTTTTTCATAAGTAAATAATGAATCTAATTGTAACATCTTTTATTCGTTCAAGATCGTCACGTTTATTTATAACACAAGAAACAAAACATTTGATCATCGTTGAAACAAGATGAAAAGTTCATAATGAGGTGTATGTGGAAATAAGTCAACAGCTGTTGTTGTTACAACATCAAATGGTTCACCTTGATAAGCTCTTGATCGTGGACGGTTTAAACTAGAAAATAAAGCTTAGAGAAATTTCATCAAGGAAAAAAAAAGAAGAAAATGTTTACTCAATAAGATTATGTGTTGCTAATTGCGGATTACATGCGATATAACCTAAGACTTTGATATTTTCAGCTGAACGTAATGTTTGAATTACTTTTCGATCTAAGAATAATTATATTTTTTTTTTATTTGTAGAAATAATAGAAAACAAAAAAAAACAAAGAACATAAATATACGTACGAACACCAGCACGTGGTGGATCAAGAATAGCAACAAGTCGTTGTTGATCATATTTATTTACTAATTTATGAATAACATTTTCAATTTTTTCAGCAATAAAGTCAATATTATTAATATCTAAATGATCCTATCAAAAATATTGATATGAAAAGAAATTCTTTTTCCTACTGTTTAATTGAGCATTACGTTTTGCATCTTCAACAGCATCTTTATTCATTTCAATTCCAACAACATGTTTAACATTCTAGAATAAAACATATTTTTTTCTTAAAAAATTTTATCTGCAACGCTTTTTTTGTTTGTTTTTACATTTGCTAATGTAATACCAATTGTTCCTGTTCCACAACATATATCAAGTACAATGGTTTCATTATCTAATTTCATTGAATCTTTTATTAATGAATAAAGTATTTCAGCTCCTTGTGTATTAGCTAAAAAGAAAAATAGATTCAATGAAATTATTTATTTGCAATTCATCGAATAAAATTACCTTGAAAAAATGCTTTAGCCGATACATGGAATTGAAAATCAAATAATTTTTCAACAATATACTAAAAAAAAATCAGACTCAAGTTTACTTGATTAATTCCCATAAAAAAAGGTCTTAGTTGCTGCAGTCTCTGTCCATAGTTATAGGTATTTCAACCTGAAATGTTACTCATAGACAGGTCTGTTTGTTTGTAGAATTCCCTGAAAATTTCAGCCCAAAAGAATATTCCCTTCACGAGATATTAAACTCCCAAAAAATTCTGGCATCTTTCCTGAAACTGCACTCTACCTTATGCATAATGTTCGAATTAATTTATTGAAAAATCTCTTTCGTCAGTTCATCATGAGAAGTTTTGAAAACTATGTTAAAGAAACCCATTGTGTAGACTCGAGCGAGCTCAACCCACTATGAATCAAAATATCGAGTTCATCATTAATGCTCAGCAGTATGCGCATTTAGATCAAACAAAATGATATAGTGTTAAATAGGATAAATTAAGATCATGTAACCCTTCTCATCGAAGTATACACTCTTATACCTGCTTAGAGCATATCCATCTGAAACATACCACGTTTACATCGAAGTTCGGCGCCAACGACGGGACCTGGTCTATCTTGTAGAGAATTTTTTTTCTGATTAAAACGTACGTGGTGAAAAACTCGGAAGTGATGCGCGACTTGAGATGGAGTCAAAATACTTTAATGCTGATAGTGGTAAGCTGCTTCCAGAACAAAAATTTTGACCCCTTATATTTTTACATGGTTGGATAGAGTTCGTCGAGCTGATCACAAATATCACCTTTGAAATATTTTTCGATCGAATTCTGGCTGAAAATCTTCGAAATATGAGTAACACCCTCAAAACCTGGACTTTTTTAGTTTTTTTCAGGAAATTTCAAGATTTCGCTCATTTAGACCAATGGTAAATCTTTGAAACTAATTAATTTGGATTCAGCGTCAGAAAATGAGTTGACCTGTGTAGTTTTTAATTAGTTTCAAAGATTTACCATTGGTCTAAATGAGCGAAATCTTGAAATTTCCTGAAAAATACTCAAAAGTCCAGACTTTGAGGGTGTTACTCATATTTCGAAGATTTTTCAGCCAAAATTCGATCGAAAAATATTACAAATGTGATATTTGTGATCAGCTCGATGAGCTCTATTCACCCATGTAAAAATATAAGGGGTCAAAATTTTTGTTCTGGAAGCAGCTTACCACTATCAGCATAAAAGTATTTTGACTCTATCTCAAGTCGCGCATCACTTCCAAGTTTTTCACCACGTACGTTTTAATTAGAAAAAAATTCTCTACAAGATAGACTAGGTCCCGTCGCTGGCGCCGAACTTCGTGTATAAAGTGGTATGTTTCAGATGGATATGCTCCTAACACAAAACTCGGCGTATTTTCCTAGAAATGAAAAAAAAAACTCGAAATCTTTTTAACCATTATGAAAATTTATTTTTCAAATCGAGAGTTTCTAATAGTTTTTCTTTTTGTTGAATTTTAGTCTAATTCATTTAAAACCTTACCGATTCACCCAATAGAATTTCACTTTGAATAAGTTCATTTCCAGCTCTATAAAATTTTGCAATATCAATAATCAATTTTCCATTTTTTTTTTTTTTAAACTAAAATTCTAACTTATTTTTTTCCACATTAAAAATAATATTTGTAACTTTACAAATACTTCCAGCATCGTGTGTAAAATAATTTAGTAAAGATTTTTTTTCTTCATCAATTTCTTCCTAAATAAAAATAACTTTTCTATATATGTAATTTCAATCAAAATTCTTTTTACAAACAGGAGATAATTGATCTTGACAAAATGAAATCATAATCATTAAATGATTTAAACGACTTGTTCGTACTGTTAATTGTCTCCAACAACCAACATGAGTTTCACCTGAATACCATGGAGATGAACGAGATCGAATATGATCTTGAAAATGCTAGAAAATATTTTTTTCTAAATTTTTTTATTATTAAAATAAAAATTTGTCATATCTTACTTGAACAAGAAGTTTCATTGTATCAGATACATTTTTACAAACCCTTGGACTACCTACACGATCAATACCATAGCGATATTCTCCTAGAAAAAATGAATTTCTAATAGAGATTGGGTTTTTTTTTTGTTAAATAATATCCTTTACCATAACGGAAACCAACAACTTTATCTACGTAAGAAAAACATTAGAATTAAAAGAAAATTTTTCAGAATTTTACCTTCATTATTATTTCCTTTTCCACATGAAAATTCACATTTATTTCGATATCCATCAATAACAGGCTAAAAAATTTCTATGCTTTATTTAGTTAGTAAAAAAGAAGAAGAAAATTAAATGAATTCTTACTGAAGGTTTTATTCCTTCAAAAGGAATAATTACAGTTTTTGAACTAAATAAAATTCATTTCATTGAAAAAAAAAACCAAAATAATTAAATATTTCTTTTATTTTTACCTAGTTTCTTTTATTTTTTGTTCAAGTCCTTTTAAAAATTCTTGTACAATCGTTGATTTTTTTGCTAATTGTTCTTCATAAGATAAATTCCAAAGTGGTGTAGCTGAATTTTGAATTCTAAATTATTTCATAGATTGTATGTTTAACAAAAAAAAAAAAAAGAAACTCAAAGAATTTATACTTGATTTCATCTGGTAAATCAGAATCGTTTTGATTACCCACATTTTGATCACGTTTATTATCATCTAATGCGCTAATGTACGAGATGAAGATTAAAAAGAATTATGTTCATTTACTTTTTTTAGGTTTTGCTGCTCGAAACATTATATCTGTTGCTGGTTTAGCATGCTAAAAAATAGATAAGCTTATAAAGAAAGTTCATTAAATGATTAATGTCTTATAAGTCGAAACTATGTGTATCATGTCGGCCATAATGAGTATCCTAAGTAGAATTCGAACCTTTAGTTTATTGCTACAGTGAATTCTAACTAGAAATTTCGAATAGAGACAGGTGTTAACGAGAAAAAATTTTAGATCAATTCGTTGTTCGTATCTTAAGATACGGACATGATAAAAGCGTATCTTTTACATCGCTCATATACAGTGGCTCCACAAATTATTCATACAGGTGTAATTTCGATTTTTTTCTCTAATGGTAACTCCTATGAAGAATCCAAATAATGATTTGGATAGAGAAAATTGTTTTCAACAAAGTTCCCAGAAAGATGAAATTCTCATCTTATTCCCCAAAACCAGGATCTTTGGAAAACCGAAAACCTATTTTTTCAGCACCCAGACCCCGAAAATAAAAGTTTGTTTTGATTACACAGGGTGATAGAGCAACGAATTCTCTACAAAATGAGATGTCTCCGAGCTCTCCATGACAATTTTTTACTGAACTGCATCAGTTTTAAGGAACACCCTAAAGTGCTTTTTGTCCGATTTTCCCATAACCATTTTTGAGTGTTTCTTAAAACTGATGCAGTTCAGTAAAAAATTGTCATGGAGAGCTCGGAGACATCTCATTTTGTAGAGAATTCGTTGCTCTATCACCCTGTGTAATCAAAACAAACTTTTATTTTCGGGGTCTGGGTGCTGAAAAAATAGGTTTTCGGTTTTCCAGAGATCCTGGTTTTGGGGAATAAGATGAGAATTTCATCTTTCTGGGACCTTTGTTGGAAACAATTTTCTCTATCCAAATCACTATTTGGATTCTTCATAGGAGTTACCATTAGGGAAAAAAATCGAAATTACACCTGTATGAATAATTTTTGGAGCCACTGTATGTAACGATAGATCTCTTGTTGTTATTTCAAGATTGAAGCAAATCAAAAGACTTGAAACTTTTAGAATCCTGGGGGACAAAAATGGTTTTTTTTTTAAATGTCGAATCTCGTTGTACCCGTCTGATTTTATTTTCAGAGTGTCACGCAACAGCAATAAGTTAAAGAGTCAAACCCTTTTCAGTATATTTATTGCTTAGTCTGATCTACATAATGCACATAGTCCTGATTCGAAAGTGATTGATTAGTTGAAGAATTCTCTTCGATAGATTTAATATGATAGATAAATTCAACTAACCGATACTTCAATGCGATTTCCTCGATAAGTCCATCCAGTGAGTAATTTTAAACCATTTTCTCTGTCTTCTTCATTTCTATGAGAAAAAATAAAAGAAAAATTTTACATTATGATAATTCTTATATTACCGAAAATTAACATAAGCATGTGTAGCTGATTTCGGTACTTTAATTTTAACAAAATTAACACCTAATAATTTGAGTTTTTTTTTTAAATCCTAATTATTAATATTAAAAATAATTGATTTTATTAGAAAAATAATAAATAGAAATATATTTACGCCAAATCCAAAATATTTTGGTAGATTATTTAATTCAAGTTTAAATCGTTCTGATGTATATTCATCTCGTGCAAGATAACCTTTTTCTTCAGTTTTAGGTTCTGTTGATGGTTCAACCATTTCATCGGTCATTGGTGTTTCTATTTCTTCATCCATCTAAAAAAGTATTTCGAAAAATTTTTCCCGAACGAACAAATTGAACGAGGTCTGGGAAAATAGTTTTTACACTATAATGGTTTCTTTCTTAACAATATCATAGGCAAAACAGTTACTTTATTGTTTATTCTACGCGAATTTTGTCTTGACTATTATAAATTATGAGAAAAATCTTAAAATCTACCAACAACTCATTCAATTACTTTGTAAACTAACAATTGAAAAACCAATATTCGATATTCATGGAGACATTTAAAGAGCTTTAAAAAAATTAAGATTCCACGACCGAAATGAGACACTCTGAAAACTATCTTATTTCAAATTACGAATCATTTATTGCAGCAGCACGAACCATCTATGACTCATTTATCAATCAATTAGCACCAATCAGAAGAAGGCGGTTAGTATCCAAACATTAAAATATCATAAATAATATCTTAATTTTCTTAAATCTAATAAAGAAAAATTTTAATATTTATTTTTAAAACTGTTTGACCTTGGCCATTGAATATTCATTTTAATTGGTTGATTATATTGTAAAGAAAAACATGGATTCTAAAAGCAAAAAAAAGAAAAGAAAACAATTTCTCCACCTGAGATAGTCTTCATCGTTTAATGAATTGAGAATAAATAAATATATATATATTTAATTTTGTTTTAGATCCATCGTTTTCGAATTTATTCTTCACAATGACTGATACGTATGTTTCGATTTTTTGTATTTATTTTCTTTTTTATTTTTGATAATATATCGTTTATAGCGTCAAAAAGATGGACACAACGACAACAAAAAAGGCCATTCCAAAAGTGCCTGAAGTTTTATTAAAAAAACGTAAACTTTATGCTGATATTAAAGCAAAACGACTTCGTTCTCAAGTACAAGCTACAAAAGTAAATATACATTTGTTTTATTTAGTTTCTCTATTTTATTTTTTTTCAATTAGAATAAAAAATACAAACGTTTAGTTATATTCAAACGAGCCGAACAATACGTTAGTGAATATCGTAAGAAAGAACGAGATATAATTCGTCTTAAACGTTCAGCTAAAGTTCGTGAAAATTATCATGTCGAAGCCGAACCATCACTTGCTTTTGTTATTCGTATTCGTGGGTATGTTAAAAATTTTTTGTTAATTTAAAAACAAAACCATATATATTTTTCTTTTTTAGTATTCGTGGTGTACATCCACGTGTAAAACAAGTTTTACGTTTATTTCGTTTACGTCAAATAAATAATGGTATATTTATTAAACTTAATAAAGCTACTCTTCAAATGTTACGTATTGCTGAACCTTATATTGCATGGGGTTATCCAAATTTAAAATCGGTTCGTGAACTTGTTTATAAACGTGGTTTTGGAAAAATAAATAAACAACGTGTACCATTATCGGATAATAATGTTATTGAAAAAACTCTCGGTAAATACAATATTATTTGTATGGAAGATCTTGTTCATGAATTATTTACTGTTGGAGAAAGTTTTAAAAAGGCATCGAATTTTCTTTGGCCATTTAAACTTAATAATCCAAAAGGTAAGAATTTCATTTATTTGATAAATATATTAATATTATAAATTTTATTTAATAGGCGGTTGGCGTAAGAAAGCCAATCATTTTGCTGATGGTGGTGATTTTGGTAATCGTGAACAATATATAAATCAATTGTTACGTAAAATGGTTTAGACGTGTTATAAACATATTTTTTTTCACGTTCTATTCGATTTTTTTATGCTCATCATCAGCAGCATGAGAATAACGAAATAAAAAAAAGAAAAGAACATCATTCATACTATTTTCTTTTTTGTTCGAATAAAACAAGAATTAAAAGTAGAAGTTACAAATGTGCACCGACTGTACATATATAATATTAGTTGTTGAAACACTTTCATTTTAAAGAAAACAATATACACCAAACATTGAAAGTTATAGGAAAGAATTTAATCATATATTGATTAAATATTATTCTGATAGCAAATCTATTGAATCCAATCATATACACCCTAAAAAGTATTTTTTTGTGATAGACCAAATCTGAAATAAAATATAAAGTTTTCGAGAATTCTATGTGATTCGTTCATTGGCTAAAATACTTCTGCAATGAACAGCAAATATTTGTAACAAAACAAAGAAAAAGATAAAAATCTTTCTTTATACTCAACAAAATGCCCTTGCTTAGTGCTCTCCTAGTTCATCACAACATAGAAAATAGTATATATTCAAACAGATTAAAATTCTTTTGAAATAACAATCATCGACATTGACCGTTATTAAAAATTTGTTAGAGTAACTCCTTGGAAGCTGAAATCTGAAATTCATATAGTCATTATCAACTACAATAAAACACTACTTGCTAAGAACTGTAATGGGGAGGAAAGTCGCAAAACTTCCACTTAAAACTTACTTTCTCTACTTGCTTGAAAAATATATGTGAGTTTCACAAAACTGGGCATACATAGCATTTTGTATTTTTACGATTATCAATGATACATTTTTCCACAAACTGTTCTAATCATTTGATAGTGTTAAGATTTGACAATACATTATCTCTATTAAATGATTAACATAGTTGAGATCATTTTAAGGTTTTGTACCTTTTTTAAATAAGAAAATAAATATATTCTGGCTATTGACCAAATAAGATTTTTCAATAATTTCTTAACAAAATGATATTTAAGAAACTTTAGTTGATTAGTCAATATTTTCGTTAATTAAAAATAAACAATTGGATAAAAAAAGAAATAAGTGATCTTTTAGTTTAGTTATAACAGTTTTATTTAATACGATTATGATTAGAGAAAAATAAACTTATTTTCACACTAACAAGTATATTAACCCTTAAGTTATCTAATACGAGATTTATTTGTACAATTTTTGTGATAGTTAAAAGGTTTTTTTAGCTTGTTTTGATTGTGATATATGAAAATTAAATGAACAGAAAAAAAAATAATCAAAAGTTCCAAGATTAAGAGTGAAGTATGAATATGCTATTTTAGATAAACAGATACATTTTATTTTTATAACCTATAGATCAGAATTTCTAATAAATAACTTTTCATTCAATTCTCCAAGCAATATAATAATCCATCTTTTATATTTTACTTTATTTTTTTACCTACTTTTTTGAATAGTCCAAAGAACATAAGGCACTATTCTGATAATTTGGTTAAAATACTAAACTAGTCAAAAAAAACCTCTTTTGCTATTATTAGTTTTATTATTTAGTTTGATTAAAATGTTATTATTGAATATAATTAGAATCTTTATAGTTTCACAATCAAATTGATAGAAAAACGAAGTTTTACCTTTATGAATATACAGTGGCTACAAATATTATTCATACAGGTGTAATTTCGATTTTTTTCCCTAATGGTAACTCCTACGAAGANAGGCTTTTTGCTTTCTGGATGCAGTTTTTGTGCATTTTTAGACCTTTTTCAGCCAATGTTTTGTTAGAAAGCTACGATTTGGTTCAAAACTAATATCAGATTCGGAATCAGCATTAAAAACTGAGTCGATTTATATATGTTGTGAATAATTCTGAGAAAGATTTTTTTTTTGAAAAAATCCCTGTACCTCCCCTCAGGGATGGTCTGGTCATTAATGACAATTTTTCCGATAACTCAGCTATTTCTTGACAGATCCTTCTCATCTTCGAACTTGACCGAGACATTGATGAGACTAAACTGTGCAGAAAATTTCATCATGATCTGACTCTTCTTTCGAAAGTTATCGTGTATACGGCCGGATGGACATACTGACCGATTCTAGAGTGTACTCACTTTTTGAGTACACAAAAAAGAGACTAACAAATGCAACTAAATAAGTTATTCGTACTCATTCATAAGATTTTTACTTTTCTTTTTAAAGATTTTTGAACATATAAAAATATACCGAGCTAATAATGGAAAAATACGTCTTTTTTAACCTAATTTAAATATGACTCTCATCCATAACCGGTATAGTATGTATTATTTATTTAGTTGAATGAATCATCTACGAAAGAAAACTGTATTATTTTGCTAAAATGAACAAAGATTACCTTTTACTGATCTATGTTATTATTTTATTTGAATGATTAATGTAAGAGATCCATTAAAAAAAAATCGATTTCACAATGAAATTATTCATATTCAATTTGTTTTCAAATCAAGTTAATCAACAATTTATGCCCTATGAAATCTGTCAAATACATTTCATAACAAAAGCTTTTCATTTCGATGTATATGGTTATAGAATCTCGATCATTAACTTAGCTATTGCTTTTTGTTCTAATATGAATGAATAGTGAAAGCGTTTGTATATTTTTTTCTCTTAGTATTTAATGAAATAAAAATAAAGAGAATTTAATAACATAATGTATACAATTTAAATTTTGATCTTTTTTCACATAGTTGAATCAAATGTATATTTTATTTAAAATCAAACATAAACAATTCATTGGAATATAAAAGAAACTGGTTTATTTCTTCGTTCATTTTCATTTCCAATTAATATTAATTGATGAAGAAGATAATTTTAAACATTTACTAGAATTTTATCAACAAATTTAATAGTAATCAATCATCATCTGTATGTGTTTTTGGAATTAAAAGCATTTCAAAATGCGCCCATATACATGAGTAAAAATTATATATCACATTCATTCATTAATTGATCTTCAACAATCATTTTTTTTTTAGGGAGTAGATGGTTTAAATATATATGATAAATTATCTTAGTCGATTAAAACTCTACTTGATGAACATATCAATCAAAATCAATTATTCTTATTTGGGTAGCTACGAAATATTCAGTACATATTATTGGATAGGAACAAGATGAATTTTAAAAAGAAAAAAGATTAAGAAATTATATTTGTGACACTGAATGATGATATACTATATTGTTGAATTTCGTTTTTATTTCTGTTTGATATGTTTCATGGATATTTTCGAACTATTGTGATCAGTAGATGAAAAATGAATTATCCAATTATTATTTATTTTTCGATAATCTTTCTATATTATCAATTAATATATATTCACATTAGAATATACTACCACTATTGAATTTAGTCATTAGCAAGTAGAAAGAATAATGCCATTATTAAACTAGAAATTATTGATAATTTAGTTTATTATGTTTTAAAAAATATTAATTAGTTTCTAATTCATAATGTTACCAATCAATCTGTCAGGAATAGATTTCAACCATTCAATTAAGCACCTAAACCATTTTTAATTAATACTTATTCAATATCAACAACACTAATATTTCCTTTCGTACAATATGTACTTAGTGATCTTTTGTATGTGCTTGTTTATATGATTCACAAAATTTAAACTGAAATATGATATTAAAAACGTGCCAAAACTGATGGCTTGTGTTCATATATATATATATATATTTCGGTGAATAGTTACCATTAATAAACAATGAACCCATCGTTTTCTAATTATTGTGTTCGATCATATATACGTTTTTTACAATCAATCTCGCTAGCATTTGTTATTGAAAATTTATGATTTATCTCAAACAAAAATATCCAGCATGAACCAACAAGTCGATGAATAACAATAAGTTTACGACTTTTTATTATGCTCACAAAGACACATGAAATGGTCACATTTATCATTGGGGTTTTTTTTTTTTATATAAACGGGAATGATCACAATATAATTAAAGTATGACAATTGTACTAGATTGAATCGTTATCAAAAATTTTGTTTAAATCAATCTGTTTATATTATGCTAATTATTCATTGTTTGATAAAATTTTCCAATAAGAAAAATGTAGAATTACTTTTATATAAAAGATATGTTGTTGTAGAAATTGTACAAACTCTTTGACGTTTGAAAAAATGTTATTATATTATTTTAAAATCATCTTTATTTTTCTTTAATCATAATCATATTATATACAAGTGTTGTAATTAAAATGGAAGATAAATTATCCCTTTTGTTATTCAATCGGATATTAGAAAATTTGATCATCACAGTTTTTTTTCCGTTAATGTTAATTCATCAAATATTAATATATAAAAATCAATCTTGCAACGACAAAAACCAAGTTATAATTCCACATTTATTTTTAATTAACGCAAATATTGATTAATCCATTAAAATTTCTTAAATATCATTTTGTTAAGAAATTATTGAAAAATCTTATTTGGTCGATAGCCAGAATATATTTATTTTCTTATTTAAAAAAAAGGTACAAACCTTAAAATGAACTCAACTATGTCAAACATTTGATCATTTAATAGAGAGACTGACAAAAGGTCAAAAACTATTTGAAAATATCTTAACTCGATAAAAAATGTCCTATTCGTAAAAACACCAAATGATATGTATGCTCAGTTTTAAAACTAAGTTCTTACTGATAAAACTCTTTTTGCTAACATTTTATTTTATTTTTGATATTCCAAGTTAAAATTGAATTATGGAAAGAAAGTCGAAACGGAGTATCTTAAATTGTAAAGTATCGATGATGGAGCGTGATGCACGTTCACTATTATAAGTTGGTATACAAAGCTAAATAAATTTTCGATATTATTAATGTATATATGTAATCGCAAAACAGATGTTTGGATGAATTTCTAAAAACATGTTTTGTCGGGTAGAACTCGGCCGTTACAAAATTCACCCGAAATCATTATTCCGGTTCAGTTTTCAAAATTTTATATGAAATGGAAACTGTTGAATCATTAGATAGATACGAAAAACATCTCATATTTCAGTACTCAAAAAAAAAAAAAAAGAACAATGTTATACATATTTAGTAAAATCTTTAACCGCAAGAGTAAAAAAAATGAAAATTTCTCAACATAAATTTAAGAATTTTTATATCTATCTCATAATTTAACATTTTCGGCTCGCCTCCAGGATTGTTTGAAACCATCTCATGTTACTTCTAATATTGAACGGATGGATTGATTAAAAGACTTTTTGAAAGCATATAATATAATCAAATTGCATCAGAAGAGAATAGGAATCGTAATAAATAATTTAACATTAAAGTAAATCTTAGAATCTATTGGGAAATTGAAGAAACTGTTGATACTAGTATATTACACGGTGTAGAAAAAATGATAATGATAGAAATATTCTTTTGAGATTAGATGAATGTCAGAATTCATAACAGTGTAATCAGTAGTTTAGATTGCATAAGCAAACAAACACTAGATTATTGAAATAATAATCGAACTTATGGAAATCAAATTATGACAAATAGTCTTATTAAAACTTATGATAAATTTCAGACTTTTTATTTTTAATCAAGATAAAATGATGATTATAAGCTTTGCTCAATCGATTCAAAAAATAAAGATATTAACATGAGAAAAAAAAATCTTTTTTGTTTTGATTATCTTAAATAAACATTGTCTTTCGGAAAAGATATTTAAAAATAGATTTCTTCGGAACATCTTGTTCGAGATCTTTTACTATATAAACACATTCTCGTTTTTCATTTGATGGTAATTGTTTTGATACATGGACTCCATGTTCTTCTAATCGTCTAAATTTAGAAGTCAAGAAGTAAAAAAAAAAAATTAAATTAATATGTTTTTTTTGTTTTTGTTACTTTGTCAAATCTTCAATATCAACAAGAATTGAATCCTGTTCCATACTGAATGCATCTCGTTCAATTAAAAGATTAACTAATTCATCATTATTCGCTTAAATATAGAAAAACAAAATCATATTAAATATTATATAATATATTATTGAATACTTTCAATTCGACAGTAAAGATCATTAATAATCGCTTGTAATTGACCAATATTCATTTCTTTAAGTAAATCAATTGATAATGATTTATCAATATTTGCATTAAGTCCAATCTTTAATATAAAATATAATCAAAATAATTAAATATTATTTAATAATACATACAATATCATACAATGATGATCTTTTCTTTTCTAAAACTTCTCGTTCGATTTCAACTTGCATTCGAGCCATTTTTGCACCAAGTACGAGAGCAACTTTCGCTTCTTCCTAAACAAAAAAAAAAAAACATTTTTTTTTTTTAATATTTAATAAATAAAATAATTACTTTTAATTTTTTTTGTTTTTTTAAGATATCTTCGTTTGTACGAATTATAGCAGAGGAATTTGTTTCATCAATTGATTCATCTGTTTGATCATGTTCATAATTGAAACCTGTAGTTAAGAAAATCTTCTTACTTCGATTATTCTGTGCCATAAAACACAATAAGTATTTAGGCAACTAAATGGTTTCTTATTTTGTAACAAATATTTCTTCTCTGTTCTTTTACAGCATGTGTTTAACATCTTTTTTTTCTTTTCTTAATGGTTCTATACTTAGTGTCATCAACTTTTTTTCTTCACATCATAAATAATGCTCGATGACGTTGCCTTCATTTAAGGTTTTGATACAATATTAGATTATTTCTTTATTTTTTTTGTGCTTTTACCTTGTTGATGTGTTGTAATAAATTCATTTTCGACATAATCTTCATTTTCACATTCCGAATCGTTACTAATAATTTCATCACGAGCCTTCAAAAGAATAATTGATGAATAAAAAAAAAAAAAAAAAACAAAGATAAGAATTTATTTCTCGAGTTTTTTTCTAATTAGATATCTATATTTCAATATTACTTGCAAACATTCATGCCATTTCCAACGAGCTTTTTTATATACCATAATCGAGACAATAGTAAAAATATTCTGATTGACAAGTGAGCTTATTTTGTATGTTTATCATCGATTGTCATTCTTTTCCGGACAAGATGAAGAAAAGACTAGAAAGATTTTTTTTTTTTTGTTTCATTATCATTCCACTAGTGTATCGTCATTGCCGTTGCTCGATAAAAAGAAACTCGGTCCGATGTTGACAACAAGCATTTCTTTTGTCATCGGACCGTTATTAATTTCATCATGCATATATCAACATCTTATTTAAGATAGACCTTGAGCAAATATTTAGTCTAAATTTAATTTTAGATTTATTTTTTGATTTATGAAAAATAAAAATTCAGTATGAAAAATATTTTCTCTCGTGTAATATACTCTCAGATCGACAATAGAAAAAGAAAAAAACATTGAGAATGATTGAATGAAATGACCGTAGTTCATTTACTTACTTTTAATTCTAATCGAGAATCAAATTTAATATTTTTATTATAAAGATAATATAAATATAAGTCCATAAAAAAAAGAAAAGAAAGACTGTTAGAAACACAAACTTCTAATTGAATATGACTCGAGCACTTTTTCTGTAAGTGATGAAGAGAAAGAGAGACATACATAAGAGACATCAAATTCTTAATGGAATGACAATAGTAACCTGGTTAATAAAAAGGAAGAGAAAATGATTATGGAGTCTACTATATACGTAATATTTCATGAGTCTCTTTTTTTGTAAAAATACATAATGATTGACAATTACTATTATTGTTGAATAGGTGTTATTAATTTTTCTTTGTATAGATAATAGAATTGATTTGAAAGATTGAATATTACGTAATGCTACCATCAACAATTCTATATAAATGTTTGTCAATGGGATTTATTTTTTCTTTATGAATTGTTTGTATAAAACAAATCGACATTTATGTATCGAAATTAAAATAAAATTATTTTTATTTATTTTCTAATGTTTTAAATTTTTTAAATGACTTCTCCTATAACTACAACAATATTTTATTTAATTCGAATTTTTCTCTAAGTCGTTGTGCTTGTGTATTATACAACATAACGATTAATAAGAATTTTTTTCCAAATCGAATAAATGAACATCATAAAGAAAGCTTATTATATCTTAAAGCAGTATAGATCTCTTTAATAATAAATCAACCAAATCATAAGAACAAAATCCCGAAGATAAAAGTAGATTATATGGACCTGTTTAGATCTTCAAACATGCTATTGAAGACAAATTTTTCTCGGTGAAATTGTCTACTTCTTTTGTTATGCATTNAAAAAGGAATTTCTCGTTCGCTTAGAAAAAAATGATTTTTTCCCAGCGTTGAAAATTAGTCGCACACAATTTTGCTTCTTTTGAAAACCAAAAGTACAAAATTGAAATAAGCTTTCGTTTGTAGATTGTAGAGCTTTTCACGCTGAATTTTACAGTATTTTTTTTATTTTTACGAAAACATATTAATTAATAAAAAGATGACATAAGGAAAAAGGAATTTCTTGTTCGCATAGAAAAAAATTATGTTTGCGGAGCGTCGAAAATTGGTCATACAGAATTTTGCTTTTTTTGAAAACAAAAGTACATAATTGAAATAAGCTTTACTTTGTAGATTATAGAGCTTTTCATGCTGCATCTTGTGGTACATTTTTTTTTTTTTTACAAAAGTAGATTAGGTGATAAAAAGATGAGATAAGATGAGATCAGAAAAAATGATTTTTTCGCAGCGTCGAAAATTGGTCGCACACAATTTTGCTTTTTCTGAAAACAAAAAGTACAGAATTAAAATAATATTTACTTTGTAAATTGTAGTTCTTTTCGCGTTGTATCTCCTGATATATTTTGTTTTTTTAAAACAACGTATTAAGTGATGCAAAAATGAAATGGAAAAAGGCCGTTCTTTTTGTCCGAGGGAGAGTTTAGATATGACTTTCTTTCTTACACATACCTTAATTTAATGTGTTACTTTTCTTTTTTAATGCACCTGTTTCACATAGACTAGCGATCACTAGTGTATGTGAAAGTGAATGAATTGAATTGCATATGAAAACAGATGGTGAATGGTTTGTTTTTTCAACCATTCTTTACTCTACTGACATCAACGCTACAGTCGATGTGCTTGCCAACTGTTATGATTAACAACTATAATAGCTATTTGTTTCCTTCCGGAATGACTCTATAATAATAATGATTTCTTTTAGAATTAGTCTCATTTTTTATCATGCATACAACACCAAAGAATAGTATTCAACAACGATCATTAGTTTCACAGATGTGTGTCATATGTTTGCATTTAACACAACGTTTTTTAGCAGTACGTTTTTTTCTTGGACTTTTTACTGGAATTATTTTTACAACAATTATTTATCGTCTTAACGAACCAATAGATAAACCAAAATTCCGTCCTGATCAATCGAAATTTGAATATGAAAAAAATCAATTATCATTTGAAGATATTAATACAAGTCAATCATCAGTATGGAATAGTTCTTGGGATGGGTATGATAATTAAATTTTTAAATAAAAATTTTTACTTCTTTGTTTTTTCTTTCTATAGTTTAAAAAGTGAAACTAAATGGCCACGTTATTTTTATTTAATTCGACATGGTCAATATTTTGATAATGCTCGAACATTAGATGAAATGAAATTAACATTACTTGGTAAAGAACAATTAGAATATACAGGCAAACGTTTAAATCAAATGAATATACGATTTGATCGTATTATTCACTCGGGCATGGTTCGTGCATACGAAAGTGCTGTTATTATTAATCAACAACTTGATTCAAAACTTGAATTAATTGAAGATAAAAATTTATCAGAAGGTCTACCTGTTGCACCTATTCCATATGCTGGAATTTCTCAACGAGATGTAGATGTAAGAAAAAAAAAAGAAATTTTTCTTTCTTTTACTGATTCGAAACAATATTAATTGTTAGGCTTTTGGCGATAAAGTAAGAATTGACGCAGCTTTTGCAACATATTTTCATCGTGCTCGGAGAAATCAAGATAAAGAAACACATGACATTATTGTATTTCATGCAAATATTTTACGTTATTTTATTTGCAAGTAAGATTTAAATTAGAATAACAATTAGATTTTAGATTCTTTTTTTATTAGAGTTATGCAATTTCCAATTCAAGCATGGTTAAGAATAACATTAAACCATGGTTCAATAACACAAATAGCTATTTTAAGTGATGGAAGTGTTCTAATGAAAAGTGTTGGGGATAGTGGTTTTATTCCAGCGAATAAAATGACATTCTAGTCATTATTTAATTGTTATAGGGATATTTATAATAATCTTATACAATGGTTTTTTTTTTTGCTGAGAAATATTGTAAGAAATTGTTTTTTTTTTTTGTTTTATTTTATATATTATTAATACGGACAGTTATTTGCAAGTCTAGAAATATATTGAAACATATCATATCGTAGAAAAATGTTGAATCAATAATAGTTCTTCTTCTAATAACGTAATTGTTACAGATCAATTTGATTTCATGGTATTAAATACGACAATTTTTTTTTTTCATCATTGTCAAGAAAATGATATTTATGAAAGATAAAATCGTATGTTTGAATTCATAGCTTTTCAAAAGAGATACATTGAATAGCTGATTCGTTTATCTGTAAACTGTGTGTAATTTCTTTTTTTAATAGATATTTAAAGCAAGTATTAATGAACAATTAATTGAAAGATGCAGATTTTCAAAGAAACCGCTATTTCATAGATCAAGCGGCTAATATTAATTTATCATAATTGAACTTTTTTTTTCAATTATGTTCAAATGGTTAATATTTCATTTTTAACTGTTGTCTTGTTAGACTAAACAAACACTTAGGTTAGTGTCGATGCCAATGTTTTCTCTTTACTCATACCATGCGCACTCACCACCTATCAACAACCAAATTCTTCCTCTCAGTAACTCTCCTATGCGATATAATTCTTTGATTTTTTTTTTCTTTTAAATTTTCCGATTTTTCAGTATTACGCGGAACAACCGTTTGTAACCGTATAAGATTATATATTAACGTGGAATAGAAGCTGTTGGTACTTACGGTTTTATATCTACTTTAATGTGACACCTTTAATCGTCTACAACTGATTAGAAGAAACAAAGATTATTCGAGCCAAACCGAGCTCGATCAAGACAAAACTTATCGCTAGTTTTTTTCTATTTTTAACTCTATTAATTTATTGGAAAGAAAGTCACCAAATACTTGGCAGCATTTAACAACCATTGATTTGTTAGTATTTGATTTTTATAAGACATGTAATGCTTTGAATTCTTTATGCAAAGGATTAAAATAATTTTTCTATACAACCTGAACTACGTTCTTAGAATTTGTAAAGAAAAGTTTTAGAAGTACAAAACATATTAATTGTAATGATGCTTTGTTTTGAAAATTTCTGAGTGATTTAAAACCAGAGTGCAACTTTAATTCACCAGCAGAATATTTCAAATCTATTTAATAAGATGTTGTTGTGGTAATAATCGATACCAGAATAATAATGGGTTCTAAGAGGATTTTCCGCATAATAATAGTAACTTAATTAAATGTTCTCGGCAACAAGGCACAAAAAAGCATGACTTAGCTAATAAAATATGTATTAGATGTTGCAATGAATGAAGAGTTCTAAACGAAATCGTGCTTTTCTTGATTACATCTCAACCTCTCAAGAACATTTCCATTTTTTTTTGGATTTGAAGATGTAACTGATACGGCTGTGACTGTTTCATTACCATGACATCCCTGAAGGGTGGCAAATAACATAGTCGTATGTGTCTCATCATAAAGAATTCCATATCACATAATAGTTTTCTAGTACAACAGTATTGGTTTCGTTCTGTCGCTTTGAAAGAACATTCTATAATAAATGTCTCGCTGGCAAACAGAAATACATGGTTTAAGCTCACTATTATCGTTGGTGATATAGAGAATGCATTATGATTTCAAGAAAAGACAAAAAGAATCTTTTTTTCATTTACGATACTAACGAAAATAGTATACTTAATCAAGTATCATATTCGATTTTTTATGGTTGAGTTATGGTGTCCTATTTCACAGATTATCAAATCAATACTGGTCGCTTTTTCGATATTGATTGACTGTCACACGTTTTCAAGATTTTCTAGAACATTCATGATTAAACACTAGGAAATCCCAACCATGATGAAAATGGCAGAAAACGCCATACAAACAACTAAATAACAATAAAGAAGTGCTCTTATTACTAGTGTCTGCTGCGTTTCAACATATAACTAACTACTTTCAAGATCTAAGACATTTATGTTTCTTTATTTTCAACATATTAATTCAATTAACACATGGATATGTCATAAAAGTGAAGCGTTCTTTCTTAATTGCTGATGCAGCATTGAATATTGGCTGCACCTGGACAATAGCCACTAAGTGTAGTACCAGCACATGCTGCTTTATCACGACAGACACCTGTTCGTCCATTGACTGTGCATGAAGCACCACTTGGAATACAGCATTGAATACCAGCTGCACCTGGACATAAGCCAGCGACTGATTTGCCGGTACATGACGTCGTTGCTATACATTGACCTGTCACGCCTTCAGCTGTACATGATACCACTAAATAAATAAACAATAAGATAAAATTTACGTTGAAAATCTTCTCCAAATCAAGACTCATAATTACCGCCTGTTCCACTTCCACAACCCAATGTAGTCTTCGCTCTACCCCAGTATTTCTCGCGATCCGCTTGTCCATTAGTTCCACCATTAATCTTTCTAGTAATTTGTCTGAAGGCATCTAATGTTCCAGCATCCGCTAAAGCATTCAACTTGTGTACGGTCCAAAACCAAACACTTGTTCGAAAACCGACTTGAGGTGTTGCAACAAGTTGTGGATTAGCTTCCAAATCCAGTCCCAAAGCTCTTCCTGCTGCTCGATAGTTGGCTCGACCTGTAAGTTGAATAGGACCTCGACCTTTAAATCGTTTGCCATCACCTGGTTGTGTATTGCCTAAATCCAAACGACCTTCGTAGGCTTCACCTGAGGCTATTTCTTCCATGTAAACCAATTGGCCTGATTCATGTGCTAATTGAGCAAGAAAAGCCGCCTGACGATGACACGTATTGATCGAACCTTCTACTAGTGCTGCATTAATGTGGCTCAAATATTCAGGATGTCTGTTATTTGGCATAATTGCTGCCAATTGAGCAGCGGTGATCGATTGCGAGAGGCAATGGTGTACGTTGGCAACTATCACAACTAATAGCAGAAGCTTCAACATGATTGAAAACAATATCGAATGAAATGGTAAGAAACACTGGAGGGCTATATATATATATTCAAGAAAATGTTCGTATTAATTCTACTGTTTGAAAAATATCCAATTTCGCTATGCTTAAGATGGAGTGATAATTGAGATAAATACGAGACAAATAATTGGTACGATGTTTGTGGGCGTCTCAATATTGTTTCGTGAAAGATGAGAAAATCACTTTGTTCGAATTTCACCATTTCGTATTTAATCCAATAATAACTTTGAAATATTTTCGATGCTGCCGCCTCAATATATTTATTACATTTCTATTAATATACCCATTTGTTTTCGGGTTTTTAGCTTGTAGCTGTTTTTCATCTAAGTGTACTTTAAGTCAATGCAAAATTTGTACAAGACCTATTGAAATACGAAAAATAAGTTAAATACAGAGCAAAAATGGTTTCTTTTTTTATCAACATTCTGAGAATAATCAATCGCTAGCATAAAATCAACATTTGGATGCTCTTGAGTTTGAAGGTTGTGGGTGTGAATGTAGGTCTTCAATCAAACTCACACGACAAGCCCATCCATATCCTAAAGTAAGGTTTATAAAAAAAAAAAAAGAAGAAGAACTCGAGCTTCTTCAAATCAGAGCAAGTTTTTTGCTCCTTCGAATCAAGAAGTAGGCATAGAATTTGTGTTTGAGCTTATTCACTTTCGTCTATCTGTCAGCATGGAAGCACAGACCTAAACTCGAATAAACAAACATTGAACTTTTAGAAGAATGCACTCTCAACAAGACTTTCATCAAATGAGCTAGATTATCAGTTCTTCTCTGATATTCAACAAGTACGATGCCCGTTTGTTTGAAACTTGAACACTTTGGTTACTTCCTCAGAAAGCATGAATGTGAAGAAAAATATTCGCATTACTGTTTCATTCATATCAGCTATCAAGAAATATGGATTATGCATGAAAGTGCCGAAAAAAATATTCTTGTTGACAGAGTATGACTCTGATTTTAAGATTTATTTTATTTATTTACTGGCAAAAAAAAGACATCCAACTTGTGTTACGTTATTACTATGCACAATAGCATCATTTTTTTTTGTTGACTCTTGATAGAATCATTAGGAATTCCATAATTATTTATTGAAATGACGTCTTTTTCTCTCTGCCTGTATTTTGCATGAATAACTCAAACAGTTATTTATCCAACCAACTGTTTGCCCAATATCGAATTAGTATTGACTACAACATGTTTTATGATTTGCCCGATCGCTGATAAAGATGAACAAAGCACATAATTTACACATAGTTTTGTTGTTAGAAAATGTGTTGATTTTGATTCTTTTATTGAAACCAATTCCATGTAGCTGTCCGTTACGATAGCTTTTGATGTATCGATCTGTCTAAAAATCCATTTGACTATATCGATCTTGCGAAGAATCAGTGAATAAGTCTGGAATTTCAAAGAGCTTCCATAAATACTTATTGAACATTTATATTTAGTTCCATGTTGCACGGCTATTTTTTTTAATAATAATTTATCGCATGCTTCTAAAAGAGAACGAATTCATCAAAAAAAAGCTAATTAAATCAAATGAATCCTTGGACAACAAAGTGCGCTTTGCTTCGAGCATACGCAAATAATAGCATCATTATTGAAAAGTAGTCTTACAAATACTGCTCAACAAGCAATCAGAGCATACAACAGATGGCAAATGCCATCAAGAATGGTAATCTTTGTATTGTACGAAGATTTCGGCTACTTTATATTGTTTAGAGTTAAACTTTCTCTGAAAATTTCGTCCATATAATCGTACACAACTTGTTAAGTTTCACTTAGTATTAAGTTTCGCCCGTTACTTTAAGACTAATATGATTGAGTATAGGCATGAAGTTCTATATTCAGTCATTTTTTACTAGTTAGGTATTCTATTAAGTTTCTATCACATATGTATCGACTATTTTCAAAACCATTTGAAAGTTTTCGAATTTGTATACCTTCTAGACCTAATTTTATTCATAAGATCAGTTCGTTAAATTTCATTGATAAATACGAACATATCAAGAATGATATTTTCTATCAATTTTTTAGTACAATTATAAAAGTTAAGATTTTCTCACTAATATTTGCGTATGAGAATTGCTCAAATTAAGCGCATAAAGTATTAATTATGTGGACATATCATATATACTCTGATTGTTCATAGTCTTAGCTAAGTTTTCATTACAATACATAGTAACTTTCTCAATACTTTCAATATATTTTTATATCATGCACACAGCATACTCCTTAAACAACAGTGTACATTTTTGGATTACAAAATATTCAGATTTCACGTTTTGTCATATATAGCATAATGTAAAATAAAGAATGTTAAAAACCTTGTTTTTTTTTCAATATTTATGAGAATAGTATTTTCTTGAGATCAACTACGTTGTATAAAACTGAAATCTATTCATGAAGATAGACTCTAAATACTTAAAGCAATGAAAAAGAAAAAGTTCTGAAAAAACGTTTTTTTTTCGCATAATTTTCGCAAATAGGATTTTAAAGCTTACTTCCCTAAAAAAAATCAAAAATAACATCAAAGCCCATATTCAGATTCTTTGTGAGACGACACATCGATCCCACGTAAATTTTACTTCAGTTTTGGTAAAAATTAATACTAATATGTCTTATTCACTATTAACCCATAACTTAATACAGTGACATCTCACGGCTGCGATTATCTAAAAAGCTCGAAACAATTTTTCGTTAGACTCGAGTCAAATTTAGTATGCTTTAATGTACAGTTTGATAAGAAATCTGAATATGATCTTAGATTTTATTTTTGACTTTATTTTAATGAAGCAAACTGTCAAAAAATATTCGCCAAAATTATGCGAATAGAAACCATTTTTTTTAAGGATTTTTCGTTTTCCACAGCTTCAAATATTTTAAGTCTATCTTCATAAAAACAACTTGGCAAAAAGAAACTTTATCGAAATGCTTAGAATTAAACGCTTTAAAAAACTAGTTCGTGTTAACTATGATTGACTCAAATAAAGAAATCAAGAATTTCAATTTGAATGAAATACATTTGGAGTATCGCTTGTTACAATGATATATGAATTGTAATCCGTTCAGTAAAACCTAAAAGCATGTAGAGTTCGAAATGTTATTAGGAAATCATTGTGCGCCCCATCTTCTTCGTAAAAGTTACGATGTAAATAATCAAACTCGACCGAAGTATTCTGAAAATACAAAGAGCGCCATTCTCCATCGGGCAACGATGAATTCAATTTTGAAAGCAAAAGCATTCATCTCGACTTTTTGTCAAAACTTTCTTTAGCAGAGAAAACAACATCAACAATGAGTGATTGGAGGTCTTCATATCCACATTTGGTTGATGACTCAAAGCCCAAATCGAAAACTTCACAAGATCGACGTCTCTTCGATAATATTGCCATAAGAGATGATCGTTCAAGTAAGATTTCATCTGTTCGTATCAAACAGCGCCGCCACTCAGAAGATGACAACGATAAGAAAAGGTCAGTATATCTCGTAATTTAGTTTCATAATAATGTCACTTGATCACATGATTTTTGAGATGGCGAATGTTTGGAATGACAATAAATTGTGGACTATGCAAATTGCCACTTCTTGGTGGTCTACTCTTGGGAATGCTCGCATGCGGCTTAGTATTGGCCATTGTTATTACTTTGTGGTTAACATCGGTGAATGATTCAGCGCAAACGAGTGAAATTGCAATGATAAATAGTAAATATATCACTTAGTTTTGTTGGAAAGTAAAAAGAGTGTTTTCCAAGGTGGAAAAAGCGGCTCCTGGGAAACTCTACGGATTCTGTCGGCTTCTGATGAATCCTAGTGGCTTCTGGTAGATGCCGCCAGGATGCATCAGGAGCCGACAGAATCTGTGGAGGCTTCCAGGAGTCACTTTTTCCCCCTTGGTGTTTTCTCTCATATTGGATTTAAAATATTTTATCGCTAAAAATCAGAAAAACTAGACATAATATTTTAAAATTCCGTCGTATTATTACATAACGAATGAGAACTGTAATTTCTACAATAGCAACAACGACTACTGTCACGACATCAACAATAACGACAACAACAGCAACTACGGCTACATCGTCAAGTTCATCTTCATCAACAAGTAAGCACGTTCATTTTTCACAAAAAAAGTATCATTGAAGGATTAACTGAACAGCTGGTAGTTCACGTCACTCTATATAACTGTGAACTTCTCCTAAGTTTTTTCTTGTTATGTACCTGATAGAAAATGTGTCGAGAGTAAATTGATAAATTAAAATGTGCACACAGGATTAGTATACGATTTCTATAACAGGTTTACAAAGAAACGATGATTTTTCAGACGCAATAGTTTGTGCATATGCATCGTATTTGGATCAGGTTTCATAACTTCTGAGATGAACCTAACTGCTTTCTTCGAATAAACTAATACGGCCAAACCCAAATTTTCAGAGCTCTACTAGAAAAATGGTGTAAAGTCGAAGATTTTGTTCGTACATGTTTTCTTTTCTTTTCGTATGTCTACTAGCGATTATTAGAGTATGAAATACAATTGTTAGTTGAGATTGTCGCAAACGGAAAGTGAAGTAAACCAATCTTCACTTGCCCCCGAATAGCATAGTCAGCACGTTAACAAATTGGCTATTACATTCTGTTATATGTTGCAACGACCATCGTTATGATTGAGGTTTCTGAATCAACCAGTCGATTGGCTTCATAGTGAATGATTGCTATAGAACATATGGGCATATTAGCTGCTAATACTCAGAAGCAAGATTTCATAAAGAAAAAGACGAAACTATGACCCGAAATTTGATAAAAGAAGCGTTTCTCGCAGAGGAAATTTCACAACGACGACGAAATATTTAATTGACTTTGGTTATTCTATTAAATAGAACGAAGTATCTACTTTATTTTACGAGATAAAATTCTTTCAAAAAAAATGATTTTTCAAAATTTTGGAAGGATTTCTATAAAATACGTGATATCCTATCTTTTCTTTTTATTCTGCATCAAAATATTTAGAGTTATGCTTCATTCGAGAGAAAAAAAGAATTCTTACACACGATGGTATCTGTTAAAAACGAAAAACTCGAAATATCTGAAATTTTTTGGTCTTCGTGAAATGAAACCTCAACTAAAAAGCGCATCCTTTGGTAGAATAAAACAGACTTTCAGGCGAAAAACTAAACCGAAAATACTTGTGAAAGATACTGGCTTGTAGAGATTTTATTCTCTTTAACATGATGTACATCTGTAGCCGGTTAGAAATTTTCTCAAAGACATTAAAGACTACTCTTTTCAAATATATTTCCCGATGCAAGAAGGAGAAAACATTGTTTTTCGATCTGTTATACAATGTGAGCAGACTATAGAATCCTTTTTTTTATGGGATATGGTATAATTTGAAATATTTCGATGAAGAATAAAAGCTATGTAAACGAAAAAATCAAAAGTGTCCAAATCATTCTTTTTGCATAGGAAATCACGTGTTTTATCAAAAACTTCCCAAAACTTGTAAAATTCTTTTTGTGCAAGAATTCTTTTCTTGTAGAATTAAGTAAAGATTTCGGCCTATCGAATCGTGCATAGAATCAAAGTCAAGAAAATATTCTTTCGTCGTTTTAATATATCCTTCGAGATAAATGTATCACAAGGTATCAAAATAATTACCTTACATATGGTATGTATGTTACAACAGCAAACTATGCATCGCTCAATGGAGTTTTTCATACTAGTTCTACATTTGTTCCTATTTTTCTATAAAAATTCTTATGTGAGGAAGGAAAGTGAAACTCGTCGAATAAGAGAGCCCGAAGAAAATCTTTATCACAGTCCTAAGGTATTTGCGCATGTTGGCACTAAGTGAGAACATATAGAAGTTTATATACTGGAAGTTTTGTCAACATCGAACTAGTCGGACAATGTAAAAACTAACTTTACTGAAGAGATCTTTTGGGAAAACATTTAGCCTATTATAAATAATAATTATATAGAAATAAAAAATCAGAGAACGAAATTTTTAAAGCAGTGATTACTTGCAGATTGTTTGCATGAATTTTTGATGAATTTTTCGTGGTACGTGCAACATAGAGAGTCATTATTAATTGAAAACGAAAGGCTCGAAAGCTGTGATAAAATTGAGAGACTTAATGGAAGTTTCGAAATTTTAGATGAAAACATGATGTTTTCGAAGAATGACGTGGGAAATGCTTCAAAACAACACGTAAGCATATATGGTTAAGAAAAAAAGCTAATTTCTGATAGTTTATCATATGGACATAGATACTAGACTTCCAATGCACAGCAACCAAAGGTCAACAATTTCTAACTAGTGAGAAAATTTTGTACGAGAAAAGAGGAGCTCAATATTTTTCCAAATTTCAGAGGATGTTGAGATATTTAGTATGCAATAGATGTCTCTATGCTAAAGAAAAAAAGGCTTGTACGCAATTATGATTAGCTATGATCAAATGTCTTTGTAAGCCATCAGAAAGATGAGCAAAGTATCCATTTTAGTTATGCTTTAAATGAACTAGGGATCGCAATTCGTTTTTTTTTTTATTATGAATGCTTCTTTGCACTAAATCAGGCCCCATTGGAAAAAGGAGAAAAAGGGTAAGCAACCAAGTAGTTGACTTGACCGTGGAGTTAAAAATGGCAGAGCTCAATTAGAGCTTCTTGGACTCGGAATATTTCTGATGTTCTTTTTGTCAATGTTCTGATAGCTTCAACATCAACCTCTAGTACCTCGACGACAACGGCATCAACTACAAGTAATTTATCTTTATTGTTGACTAATCAGTGAATAACGTGACATCTATTTGTAGCTACATCAACGACGACTTCTGGAACTACTACAAGTAAGTAATAATAACTAGGTAACAACTTTTTCATAAACTCAATGGTTGGTTCCACGGATTACGGAAGCATGACTGATACGTTGAATTTTAGAAATCATCAGGCATTAGAAGAAATGAAAGTGATGTCATAATTGTTTTCCTTTCAGTTTTGACTATTAATAGTTTTCAGTAATCGTTTAATCATTAGTTTGTGAAGTACATTTTTTGGATTCTATTCCTACAAATTGCTTCCAGTCCTCTATGAAGTCTAAAAACGGATATTTCGTAAGGACACTAAAAATCAGTAGTGTATTCAATGAGGAAGCATATAGAATGAAGACCCAAAGAACATTTCTAGGAAACAATCTATTTATAGAAGAACATTTTGACCAACTCGATTTGTTAACTCTTGCCACAGGTATTTTAAGCATTAAAAAGGTCTTATCGATGCCCGCTGAACTTATCCTCTATGAAGAATTCGAAAAAAATCTTTCTCTCAATCAATCGCTCATTTTCTTCAGCTCGTTAAAAAAATGATTAGGGAACACTACGGACAAGATATTTGTGACAGCAAGCACTGTGACCGTGTTTTCATATTTCAATTCAAGTTCCAACATAACAGACCAGTTCCACACTTCTTTGCTTTCTTCATTCTCTAGAAAAAATTAGTTTCTCGACATTTACAGTTAGATAAGTGTTATTACGATAATTCTCCATCCTATCCATGAGATAGAAGGTCCAAAGCAACCTGAACATTCATCATTTCATTCGATCAATCTTTTATAAAGTTTTGCTTATCGTCGGACTATGTTGGCTTCTTGAGATGATCCAGAAGTGTAATAATTGTTTGTTTATCTATAGCGACAATAACTACGGCAACAGCGGCGACGACCACTAGTGAGTTTGGTAGCTTTTTCTCAAGCGTATTTTTGATTAATCAAAAATATTCTAGCACCATCGTGTACCTCGTCAGTTGGTCTTGGCAATATACTTATGGTTGTTATGACAAGTGGCTGGACCCAATACTCGTATAGTTACGTGGCAACGAATTCGGAACCCTTCCTTTTATTTACAACTACCAATACTGCCGGACCATTTATGATTTATTTGGATGATGTATCTGTTGTTGACATAAGTGTACCCTCCGTCGAGTTACTAGAAAATCCAAGCTTCGAAAACTCAACAACAGTACCAACCGGTTGGATCACTTGGTGTACATCTTCGTGTTCAATTAGCGTTAATCAGGTTACTGCTTCAGGTTGTCACACGGGCTCAGGTAACAACTGTTTCATGAACCGTTGCCGGAATTATTATGATTACATCGGTCAATCCTTTTCGGCAATTATTGGGCATACTTACAATATCTCATTTTGGATAAATCAAGCTGCACCTGGTAGTGGTGCATTTTATGCCACCATCAATTAATGAAGAGCTGTGTCTCAATGTTTATGATAAGATAGACGAAATCAATGATGCTCTGACTGAAAAAGACTACGATTGCATTCTTCCTCACTTTATTCCCTATAACAAAAGACATTCCTTTTTTTTTGATGCATTAAATTTTCAAGAACTATTTTCCGTAACATATATCTATATTTCATGCTCAGCTGTCAAATGTAGATGACTTGAATTTCAGATATCGCATTGAATGACTAGGTGTGGGTAAATGAAATTTGTACATGTAGTTATGTGAATATGGATTTGGGTGTTGGTATGGATACGAATATATTGGGAGGAGGGGGATATAGCTGGGTACATATGGGTATGCATATAAGCTCCACAAATATTCTAACATCGATGTCCTATATTCTGGCTTTAGTGAATTGAGTAGTCCCTACAGTTTTCTAGCTCCGGTATGCTATGCAGTGACTTGCGTGCCATCTGTATTGGTTTCGGTGTTCTACCTTGAATGTTTTCTACATGAGATGTAGCGTCTTATATTCAGTATCCTACGTTATATGGTTCGGTATCCAATGTATTATAACATGAGGTAATTATTTGAAGTTCTGGTGATAGTGAATTCTGTTTATTTGTTATCCAACAGAACAATAGCGAAATGATTTTAATCTAGCATGACCTTATAACGCTAACAAATGATTTACATAAATCATCTTCTACAGGTGTATGTATGTTTTATTTAGGAGTTGTTCTCTCAGACTTTCATCTGTTGATAGAAAAGAAATTTTCATTTATTTCACAGATGGTTTCGTATACGTAGGACATAATGAATTCATGATTAAAAAACTACGGAATCTTATCGTTTGAGATTCGATTTCTAGGACTCCCATACTTTTTCTTTCATCATTTGCAACCGCTAGCATCGATGTTTCTATTCTTGTTTCATGATAAAGATGTAGGGGTGTGGATCATAAAGAGAATCACATCCACACCCTACCTGGGCAAAATCATGAATTGCTCTTTCTGCCTTCTCCGTTTACAAAACGCGTCAATAAAGATCCCCTTTTTTTTACAGTTTGATAGAGAAAAAAGCTCTATCTTTCTATGCTATTTGATCATACGTCAACTTATACCATAATAATAAAATTTCGATGAGATGTGTTTCGTTATCATATGTCCTGGTTGTATTAATACTCATTTTAAAAAATACGAGTGAGTATTTTTTTCAATAACTATTGATAGAAATAAGATAGAGAAGTGCGGTTTTCACCGTTGGAAATCGAAGATGAAGATGCATCGAATCGTGTATTCCAGGTTTCCTGATCTGTTTTTTTTTGTAAAGTTTTCAATTGATCTTTTTAAGAACAAACTTATATGGTAAATTGTTTACACTAACTTTTCAATTATCAAGTATAAATTCAAACCACTTATCGAAGACCTATGAAGTGCGGAAGGCCGAGATGAATAATATGCATTCTAGCCGAGTCTCAAATATGATTTTGTAGCAAAATTTGTGAAAAAGCTCACTTTTGTGCTTTTTCCTTTTTATCATAAAAAAAAACATTTTCCCAACTGTTAGAAAATTGAATAAAAATATTTCAGAAATCAATATTAGAAAAAACTTACAATACGCGATTCGGGGTGGGGTGTGGGCTAGAAAAAGATCCACATTCACACACCCACCTACATCCACATTCATTTTTCAAAATATTGCTTTTAAAATCGGAACCTTGCCAATGCATTTATATGTAAATAAAAAGTTAGACTATTGTGGTTATTTTTCTTCCAACCATTGATCACGTTCTTTTCCTAATGTAAAAAACTATATCGTGCACTTCATTTTAAAATTGTTTTTTCGATTTTTTTTCTCTTACAAAATAATAAAGCATTTTTGTTGATGACATTAACTTTAATGCCAAACAGTTGTCACAGAAACTAGTGAATGGTTTTCAGAGAAAAAAAATAAGTACTGTAAACGCATGAAATTCCACTTAATTTAGAAGAAAAAGAAAAAGAAAAAGCGAGGCACATATTTGCTGAAATAAAATGAAAAAAAAACATTGAAAAAAAGTAAAAAAAGCAAAAATAAAAGAATGAAATATGACACAATACGTCGATTTAGTCAAAGAGCGACATTCAACAATCAATTACATTCATATAGAAGAGTCTAAATGGTAAGGAAAAAAAATATGTTCAAATTTGTCTCAATTATTGACTCCAACTCTACGAGGGTTATCAAATAAGACTTTCGTTGAAGTAAATTATTCTTTTTTTTTCTAATTCACCGAGTAGTAGCCATATATTTCTTTAATTATCATAGAAAGGTGAAGAAAAAAAATATTTACCTTGCAGAAGTAGATTCAGATTAACATAATTTATGTAGCCTTGAACAAAAGAAACAGATGAAAATATATGTCGGCATCAGATTTTAATATGCTACTTCTTTCAAAACACTATCATATACAGATGGATTAGAATATACTAGTAAGTTTTGTATGGACTTCCTTCACATATAACTTTACGGTTTTTCTTCGAAAGAGTAGAATTCACCAATTTGTTAATCATAGGTTGTGCTCAAAACTAACTGACAGTAGAAAAGCTCTTCTACATCCACTTAAACTGAATGATATAAACCTAACACAGGATATGTTTCTTTGATTGAAAAACAAATGATAGCTTCCTAGTTAAATACTTGTTTATAAAAATGTTAATTTTTGTTGCTCTCACATAAAAACAAGTCGAAACTTTCACTGGTCAACTGAACGAGAAATGTGGTAAAAAAAAATTCTACTAATAAAAACAAACATTATGTGTTAAGGTCCATTTTTCAAAATAAAAATAGGATGATCAACGAAAAACTAAGGAAGGCAAGAAGCTCATCAAATGTATATCTATAATTGTATAAATATGATTTATTTTATTATATTTTTATGTTCTATGAGTTTATAGATACAAATGGAAAGCGATGAAAATCAATTAAAACCATGTTTAACAAAAATTATTAAATTAGTTGAAGAATGTTTACAGAAATTCAAGTCTTCTAATGAACAAGCATGTCTACGATCACAAGTTGACATTACAAATGATATTCTTTTAGAAAATTCTCAATTGAATAACAATATCTATACATTTATATTGAATAACGAAGAAAATAAATTTCTACAAGCTTTAACATCGGATATTGAAACTACTCTAAATGAGAATCTTTCACAGTTATCAGAAATATGTTCGAATTATCTATTAGATTTTCTTCATACGTATCATTATGATTGTAAACGAAAAACATTTACTTCATCTTTATCCACGGGTGTATTACATTCATTTCATCGTGAGTTGCAGGGTTTATTAGATTCATTGGAAGCTTTTCCAGCTGCATTCAATGGTCAATTAGATGTAGTAAAAAGATTTATCAAAGAATATCCAACATTTAAAGATAAACCAGGACTATGGGAAACAACATTATTATTTTCAGCAGCACGAAATAATCATTTAGATATTGTTGAATACCTGATTAGAAAAGCACGTTGTTCTGTCAACGCTTTAAATCAACGTGATGTTAGTTTTGCATTAAATAGTTCAGAAAAAACATTTACTCCTCGAGCAACAGCAGCTTCAACAGCTCTTCATGGAGCTTGTTTTTATAATCATTTGAATGTTGTACAATATTTAATTAGACATGGTGCTGATTATTTTATTCGAAATCAAGCAGATGAAACTCCGATAAATAATGGAGAACAACATACTGATATAAAAAAAATTTTTCAAGATTATCTTATCATGGGTTATTCTACTGGAACTTCAGAGAGTTTACCTGATCGACCTATAATGGATGATGATCGACGTCCAATAAAGGATTGTATGTGGGAATATAAACCATTTCAAGATCCACAGTGGCGTCCATTTAGAGCAGCAGAAGCAACAATATTACACAATACCTTATTGCCTTCAGAAGAATTTCAACAACAAGTTTATTTGAAATCACGCAGAGGCTTATATAGTGTATCGATAATTGAATTTGTACGATCAGGAAGGCATGAACAAGATCCAAAAAGAAATATGGCATGGGTTCGATGTCGTGGTTCTAGTGTTTTAAATTTTGATTGTTTTTCAATCTGGCAAATTATGTTAATTAAACATTCAAATGTAAAAGCTGACACAGACAACATTCCATCCTTAAAAATACAACATTTTCCAGTTATGTTTAGCAGTGTTTTTAAGCTTCAATTAAATAATTGGTATAGTTGTGATCATCAAACAAGTTCATTATTAGATAATGCTATGAATTATCGACAAAAAATTATTTCAATTGATATACCTTATGTTGATAATAATTTGACATTCAATTTAGAAACATTTGAATTGGTAAATAATGATATGACAATTCACGGATACATTCGATGGATTCCAAAACTTATATCCAGTACTGAAGACCAAGATAAAAATCTTGTATATGTTGATAATTATCAGCCTATGGCAAGTATACAACCGATTCCTTTAACTACGAAACGTTTGAAAGAAGTTTTACAAATGAACAGCACTGATCAAGACGAACTAAACGAGATAGAAAATCAAGATGATGAAGACGAGAATGAAATACAGCTTGCGGCATTATACGAAATTGAAAATGATGATGATTTATCTGATGATGATGATTTTGAAAATTCAAATGATAATAATGACGTAAGTTAAGTGGAGTATTCAAGAACTTTGTTCGGTGAATGATTTGTTATCATAATACTTCTTCAAAATACTAACAACGGAACGTTTGTAAGTGAATCGGGGCTATTTGCATCAGTTGAGATTAGACATGTGTGTGACCAAGTATGTTTGGTCTCGATCTCGGTGATATTAATTTTTCAGATCCTAGCATTAGTCATGACCTCCAATTAAGCCTATCTCAGAATTTATTCGTATGACATATAAAATAATTCTACAATACACATTTTTTTAAATTTATTTAGTCAAGAACTAGCAATTTTTTAGGGCTTTTTTCTTCCATAATGATCTGATTCATATGATTTATAAGATAATTTACTTAAAGGCATAGAATGTTTTAATATACACTTGAGTTCCGATCTCTGGCCACTGAGATCTAAACCACAATCCGAGACTATACAATATCCTTAACTTTGTCACTTTCAAAGTGAAGAACGTAGTATAGTCTTAGACACAGGTACCAATATATTGTTTTTGATATGGATCCCGGGATTGGTCCCACACATTTCTAGTTGCGATCTAATGAGTTACAAAATAGGAAAACTGAGGTTGAAATTTCAACTTGGAACTTCGTATAGAGATACATTTCACTCAGAAGAATTTATTGGCAAGTGGATGGATGTGTGGGTGAGGGTGAGGGTATTGAAGAATCAGAAGAAGACCAAGATCAACACCCACACTTCATCCCCACATCCAAGTTTACTATAGAATAGCTTCTTAGAGTTTTTGAATCCTATGCTTCCTTTATTTTCTGCAATAATTCTACAACTGGTCACTTCAGTGACCAATGGTGGAGATGAAGAATTAAAAGCGATTTGACAATAAGAAGCATCTGCCAGAAAGTAAACTTCATACATTTTTTACTTCTAATTAATTTTAAACTTCAACTATAGGGTCTTATGACATTCCTTACTTCATATTTTAGGCATCTTCGAAGAAATCTGGCACTTGGAGTATTAGTGATCTTAATGATGAAATTACGGCTACCCCTCATGAGTTTGATTTATCAATTCGTGTCACTACAAATATATTAATTTGTGAAGATTCGAAAATTTCAGAGAATTTTTTCTGTGACACAGTTGATGAAATCAAGCAACCGACTCTCATTGAACGAGCAAATCCTACTCTAAAAGCTGAATTATCTGCTCCTCTTATTTCACAACTAGCTTTAGAAATTCAAGAATTAAACGATCAAATCAACAAGGAAAAGCTAAAAGATGACAAAGAAAAAGAATCCAAGCAAACGAACAAATTATTGAAAAAAAGTCGAGAACAGTTGGACTTTTTAATGGATCAAATCATAACTATAGATTATGATAATATTGAATCGATCATTGCCAATACATTTCTAGGTAGCAAAATTCAATATATTATCGACTATCTTAAAATCAAACATCCAATTGATACGTATTTTGCAGAAATACCAGATCTCACCATTACAGAAAACAGTAATCCTTATTGCATATCAATGACAGGTACCCAATTACATCAGAATGAATTCAAACTTATTCTAAAACGAATACAAAATTTATCCGATACTACAAAAGCAGCTAAAGCTTCTTATCAACGACTATTGAATTCCAAAATTGATTCTATTAGTTATATAATGACAAAACAAATTCGCCCTTCACAAGATTGGAAATATTATACTAAATATTTTCAACAATTATCTAAACATAAAATTGAAGATTTTGCTAAATTATATGATGATCATATATTACAAAAAGCAAAACTAATGGTAGACGAATGTATAACAGATGCTGATTTTCTATCACAAAATCAATTACAAAAATTGACTGACCTGTACATGAAAAGAAAGCAGTTTTTACCTGAAATAGAAATATTAAAATGTGAAGCATTAGATGAATATATAAAGCAGCATGTTATATCCGAACGATTAAAATTTGAAAACAAACCATCAAAAGTATCTATCGAAACAATAAATGAATTTATCAAAAAAGTCAAAACAGAATTCAACACAAATCCAATTTATACCGGATGTAATTTAGAACAGCTTAAGAAAATTTCAAAATTACTACAACGAATTATGTTATACTATCGATGTTATCTCTTACAATTACCCTTATATGAATCATCGAAATATTTACTAAATAAAATTGAACAAAATACAGTGATTACAATAGAAACATCTGCTGGATCTGGTAAAGTATAGAGCACACTAAGAAGGAAGCCAACATAGTGAAAGATGGTCTAAAAGGACAGTGGAAGCATAGATATAGACACTTAGATCCACTCCAGCATTTTGAAATTCATCACAGCCTGTGACAGACACTGTTAGTATACGATGAAAAACAATATATATGAATGACGTCTTGTTCTAATACATGAAGTACCTTATGAAGGGTTAAGTAGAAAAATGCATTTTCTATCATAATCCGACAGAGATTCCAACTAACAGATTTTTACTCACGAGGAAACTAAGCTAACTGACACCTATAGTTTGAGCTCATATTGGACCCAAAAGAAAATCTCGGTAAGACTATCAAAACCCTGAAAAGATTCGTCCTTATGAGTATTTGGCATCGAGTTATGACCAGTTAACTGAATTTTGAACTTATTTGCAGATAATTCTCGAAAAGCCAAGTAACGAAATTTTGATCTAAACTTTTGAACAAAGATAGGTCTAATGGCTCTTAGAATATCTGAAATTTTTAGATAAAAATAATATTTCTTCGCCGAAATATTGAATTTCCGAAAATAGCCTGTTGTCATATGCATGCTACAAATAGCAATGCACCAGTTCCGGTGTTAAACTGGTTAATTAATGCCCATTTCAAAAAAAAAGGTTGGTGGATATATGTTTTTGATAACGGTCCAAGTGCATCAATTCATATAAAATTGTTGAGATTCATCTTATGAACTAGTAGTGATCGTAGGTCACCTTGAAAGACTAGTCTGTCGCGCTTTGAAAACAAAATGAATTTAATATTTTGAGAAGTGCATTAGAATCACAAGCTGACGGCTAACAAATCTACGAAAGATTCCACATTATCATCACCAATATTTTCGATGATGGCAAATCGATTGGCAATGTTTATTTCGTTATACGACATGTGTTGTTCTATCAAAACATTACTGTTAATGATCGTGCTGTATTGCTTTCATATGTAACTTCACTGTCAACTTGAAATGCGTCTACTGCATCCCATAGATGCTCCCTTTTTTTAAAAATAGGCATTAGTACCAGTTAGCGGGTTCAGTACTATTTCAATTTTTCTAAGTCATCTTAATTACATCAACTTAATGCAATAATAAAAATCTGATAACAATCGATGATTTTTTTCCGCAACAAATTTCATACTTGTGCATGTCTGCAGGATTAATACTAATAATTCTACGCGTACATTTCTTTCCAATGGACATGCATCACCTCCCAGTTCTAACTGGTAAATCGGTACAAGTTAACTAGTTACCCAGCTATTGGAACTGATGCATCTCTAGGTACCAAAATCGGGTTCACTAGAAAATTCAATAGCTCAAAGAAGGAAAATTCTTTTCGGTTGAAACTTTTACGACATTCTCAGAACTAATATACATACTTGTTAGCTTTAATTTTGAATGAGAATTCTGTTACTTGACTTTTCGAACTCTAGCTATAAATGAGTCAAAAATCTAGTAACTCGTCATAACTCGACGTCAAAGCTTCATTATGACAAACACTTTTGGACTTTTGTTAGTATCACTAAAGCTTAACTGTGAATCCAATATGCACTCGAATGGCGATTGTCAGTTGAAATAGTTCCTTAGTTAATGAATATTCCAATAGTAGAGAACTCACGCTAATTCTTTCCACAGGCTAATAAAGTCAAAATAACTGACAGATATTCGAAACATAAAATAAGTGATTCATGAGGTTCTACATCATACACTGTGATCTGTTTGGTATCTAGGCTGCCCTTACGAGAGAACCTCTCCAGGTGCTAAAAAGCTTTTGAGGTCAGATTTTGCCCTTAAGTAGCGGATGTAAAGATTAGGAAAACCCTAAGAAGATATAGGCCAAGTTGTCTTTTGGCTAAGGCATCAAGCTTTGATCTAGAACTTTGCATACATCGTGGGCTCAATCAAAATAGCTTACCTGCAAAGTTTGAAAATTTCTTGATGAATTATCTCCAAGATATGGATTTTCCAAAATAGTCGTGCATAATACAATATCCATAAAATAATGTCTATAAGCTAATATACTAATATCTTGAAGATAATTCATCGAAATATTCTGAAACTTTGTAGGTAAGCTATTCTGATTGAAAGCTCAATGTATGTAAAGTTTCAGGTCAATACTCTAAACTATTATTTTACCGAAAAAGTCCAGTCCTATAGGAAAATTGTAGTAAAAAGTTGATATCTCAGCCAAATTACAACTTGGGCCCATATTCGCTTAGGATTTTTCTATTCTATACATCTATTACCTGTGGGAAAAATTTGATCTCAAAAGATTTTTAGTACCTAGAGAGGTTCCCTCGTTCAACATAAGGAATTGCCAGTTTTTTTTTGTGGGTTTCATGTCGAAACTATTAAGTTTATGTGTGATGTGAAGATGCATAATATTAGTTCATAATTTTGAATAATAGATTCAATAGAAGTTTCAACCTCTCATTGTTGTCATTTTAGGTAAAACAAGTTTATTACCAGCTTTGTTGATAGCTGAAGGCTATGAAAAAGTCATTGTTACTCAACCTCGTCGATTACTTTGCACAGCAATTTGTGAACGTGTCAACGAAACTATGACAACAAATAAAGACGATATCAGAATTGCTGGATGGGCTGTTCGTGGTGCTGAACGTGATGCTAATGCTCAAATCTTGTATTTAACAGATGGTTTATTAAAAGAGCGCCTATTACATGATACAAATTTAATTACAAATCAATCAAATAACACTAAACCTATTGTATTTTGTCTTGATGAAGTTCATGAAAGATCGGTTAATATTGATCTTTGTTTAGCATTATTTGCTCGTCTTCTAACAGATAAACCTGAACTTATGTCAAAAATAAAAATCATTATTTCATCAGCGACATTAAATTCATCTATACCAAACTTATATCGTCAGATACCTGAATTAAAATTTGATGAATTTAAAATGCCAACATTAGAAACATTACATCCTGTAATAAAAATTGAACGACCTAATCAAAATATATTAGATTTAGTACAAGAACTATGTAAAAATAGACAAAGACATGATCAAATATTATGTTTTGTAAGTAGTGTATCTGAAATAAATCAATGCTGTAATCTCTTAAAAGAAATTAGTCATGGAACACTTACTGCTTATCCTTTATTTCATTCACAATCAGCCATTGTTCAACAAAAGAATATTGAACAAGGAAGTATATTTTTTTCAACAAGTGTTGCTGAAACATCTCTAACATTTCCATCATTAAAATATGTTATTGATACAGGCATGAATAATATTCCTGTTTATGATTTTGATAAGAAACAAATAACTTTCATGGAAATTCGAGTAGCTGAATCGACAATTAAACAACGTTTAGGTCGACTTGGACGAACCAAACCAGGTGAATATTATTCATTATATGATTTTAAAGTTGAAGATGAAAAATATCCGATACCACAAATACGTCAATCAGATTTAGTGAATATTGAATTTTCATTAAGAAAATCTTTAATTAAAAATGGACTTAATTATATGAAAAAATTCTTACCAGATCCACCAGATTCACAAGCAATTAATTCAGCCATAGAAGAATTAAAAAGACTAGGTAAGTTTTATGTTACAATGCAGATATTTTTGTTGTTAACTAGACATATTTGGGTTGAAATGATGTTTTCATCATGAATCTAACAAATTTAAAGTATAAACTATTTTTGACTAAAACTTATTGATTCAAAGGATTTCTGGATTTGGATCTGGATTCGATCCTGATTGATTAATTTTTTTGTCAGTTCAGACTTGAATCGTACTCTTAAAACTCTCAATGAAATTTTCTCATCCGACTCTAATTGTCTCTCCGAATATTCAACATACATTTTTTTTTATAGTATTTTTCTCCTTGATGAGTAGAATAATCTATATTAATATTCTTTAAAAGATCCGACAGTGATCTCGTAATAATTAAATTACAATTAGTTATAACTCCTAGCTATTAGATTCTGATGGATAAGTGAATATATCTATTGCAACGGCTTTATATTCTTCTATTTAACAAATGTTCTATTATCAATAATACTTAGCGTTTTACTGAATTATATACATAACAAAACAATATAGTATAAATCTATTTGTAAAGACAAGTAAACAATGGTATTCACCCTTAACATGCATCAATTGATATATTTGAATTTCAAGATACTTACAGTATATGTAAGGCTCTCAGAATTTAAATTTTAGTAGAGTTTGTTTTTCTTATTTTGCTGATGGTTGGATAGACCTCATAAGTTTCAATATGAAAAATATTTCAATTAAACGACAAAATTTTCCGAAAAACATTTAAGATAAACATCGTCTTCAAAAAATAAGAGAAAAAAAAACAAAACCTATCTTTTCTCAAAATACATGTTTTTTGTATTCATTACTAAAATCGAGAAAAACAAACGAATAACATTTCCAAATCTGAGCACCTTTCAAGTACTTTAAATACCTTGAAATTCGAATACCTCGGTCGGCAAATACCAAGGATAAACTATATTTTAAATTTATTACTTGTGTGATGAAAGCTTTACTTTAATCCGAATATATCTGCTCTAATGAACCGACAACATAAACATTTCCATCGTTTAACATGAAATTTCTTTACTAATTAGTTTGTTTTGTCTTTAGGTCTTGTAGATTCACAAGATAAGCTAACACTAGATGGTATAGCCATTTCTGAATTGCCTGATTTTGGTTCACTAGCTATGTCAAAATCTGTTCTAACAGCTTTAAATAAACATAATTGTGGACGTGATTTAATTGTTCTTTCATCAATTTTAAGTGTTTTAAATACATCATCAATATTTAAGGCAATACCAAGTTCAATGAAAAGACCAGAAGGTGATTTTATGACTTTATTAAATGTTATGAATGAAATTCTCTTAGTAAAAAAAAGTGTATCTGCTCAACAATTTAAATTATCTGAAATATGTGAAGCTAAAAAGTTAACAGCAATCATATATATATTAAAACGAGCATTAAAACGATATATTAATTTAGAAAAATCATTCAATCTTTCGAAGGAATATCGTGAAAAAGCACAAAGATCAAGTGATGATTGGAAATCAATTGCAAAATCTTTATTAAAAGGATATCAAGAAAATGTTTTTTTATCAATGAAAGAATTACGGGGAAAAACTCATTTATTTACACGATACTCTTCTTCAAAAAATGACGAGGCTGTTTTAGATCTTCAATCTACTCTTACACGAGCAATAAGATCAGCACCTGTTTCACTTGTTCTTGCACGTGATGTTCGTTTTTCATCGTCCGTTCGAGCTACAACTGTTTTATCATTTGTTGGTGAAATTAAATCAAAATGGATTAGTTATTTTTTAAATAGAAAAATAACTTTGAACCAAGTTGAAAAAGAAAAATTGACGTCTGATAATATTTTAATAACAGAAAAACAAAATTTTCCTAAAATTCAAATGCAATTGAATAAACATGCTGTCAATTTAGAAGGTTCAGCAGGTTATGTTCTTAATGCTGAACTTGATATTTTACAACGATTAGTTGAAGAAATAAAATATCCTTTAATAAATAAATTTAAGTCAAGTGCAATATCTGATTTTGAGCGTATGAAAACAAATCTTGAACGTGTTTCAAAAATGCTTTATATATTTGATCCAATGAAATGGCGTTGGGAAGCTCAAAATCAAGTTAAGATAACTGCTAATAATAATACAACAAATAATGACTGTGAAATAATAATCGAAGGACAACATTCACAAAATAAATCAGTAAAAAAAGAACTTAAATCATTTTTAGGATGGTTAAAAAATTGTACTGTTATTCGAAATGTTAATTCAGGTAAAAAATTCAGCACACACTCATTAAGACTAAAGCATCAAACTCACATGTGTTGTAGTCTCAGTATACTAATACACAAAAAAAAATCTTTAGTGGACTATAGTTACTTTTCAAAGATAATCGATCGGTCAGGAAACGAGCTGTCTTATTTATTACTGCATTTGCTATGTGCTTATTGTTTTTCATTGTTGTAAATTGTTTTGCTCATTTGAATATTATGCTAATCATAAAATGACTGTGATGAACCAATGCATCATTATTGTCATCATTAATATAAATTTTTAACTAAATACAGATAAAAACTCTTGCTATGTAGAACTTTTGAAAACATAATGTGAGTTCTACGAAATAAATATTAAATGAGTACATGATGATACGCATGTTTTTCATTATAGGTGTTCCACCACAAACTCTTAAACCAGCCATGCGCAAAACTTGTCTTGATATTGAAGAGAGAATTTCTCGTATTACTGATAGTAAACGAACATCAATTGAACTATGGAAAAGTTTAAAAGGTTCAAAAGCAACACGTGAAACTCGAATGGAAGTTGTTGCATGGATATCTGTCTGTAAATTTGATTGTCGACTTGAAGGTGGTTTTGTTCGTGATTGGGTTGTAGGAAATTATACAGCTCGACCAAGTGGAGATTCAACAACTTGGTTAAATACTGTCTCTAATGAACCTTATGAAACAGCTCCTACATTGAACAAAGAACTTATTCCATCAGATCTTGATTGTCATTTACCACAAAATAAATATTTTGATATTGATAAATTTTTGGATAATTTACATAAATATCAAATTGAATATGAAGTTTTTCGAGAAAGCTGGCGTTATATATTATTATTAGATCGAAATGCTAAAACTGGTCCATTTACAATGGATTTAATTGAACCTCATATTGCTTTAACACATGATAGAATTGATTTAGATGTTAGTAATCTATCATTAGATAAAAATTATACAAAAGAATTAGGAATGAGAGTTGATATAACAATTAAACCATATTCAATTGAATTAGAAACCATTGTTGATAATATTAAAAATAAACGTTTTCAAGTTTTACGTCCAATTGATAAATATGTTCAAATTCGTATTGACAAAATGCAAAATCGAGGTTGGACACAACTTGGACAACCAATGAATGTTATTCCAGATCCACCATCGAAATATCAAATTGTTGTTGTTCCTTTACCAGAATCAACTGCATTATATAAAAATTTAGTTCAACTAATGAAAAGTAATATTGGTAATCAAGTAGAAGTATTATTCATTGATCAAATTAAAAATCTTCTATTAGAAGATGCTTATTTAGCAATAAAACAATTAATTGCTAAACAATGTACAGGGTATAATCCAAATGAACGTGAGTTATTTCATGGAACAAAAGGTGAAGGAATTGGTGGAATATTAAATGATGGATCTGATGATCGATATTGCGGAACAAAATTCCGAATAGGAAAATGGGGTAAAATATACTAGCAGAATCTTTGACGACTATTTTTCGTTCTTTTATTAGGTCGTGGTGTTTATTTTGCTGATAATCCAGGTGTTTCGCATAGATATACTGAAGTCAATTCCAACGATCAGACACGTATTATGTATTATAATAAAGTCCTATTAGGCAATGAATCAATACTTGATGAACCAAATAGTGAATTGATGCTTGCACCACCAGGTTTTCATTCAACACATGGAAAATCTTCAGGTCAAGCAAATGACGATGAATATATTGTATATCACGATACACAAGTATTGCCGTATTTAAGAATAACTTATAAAGCATAATTTTTCTCTTGTCATAGAATTTATATGACTTGAACTTTGTTGTGATCGTAGTCTTGTGTAGCGTTTAAAAATATATTTATTGTATCTTTTATTTTTTTAAATATTTTCATTAATCAAGTTTATGATAAAAATTCTCATTGATCAACTCTTCGGAGAGACTATTAAAATTACTAACCATATTCTGCTAAAAACAAAAAGAAATAAAAACTCTTAAAGCAATCAACGTATCTCGAAAACTAGATTTAGATAAGTTTGATTTAGACTTTGTCTAGAAACTTGTTTTAAGTACTATTCGACATGGGTATGGGTGTATGTAAATCTAGAATAGAAGAATTATAAATTAGTCATGTAACATAAATATGATAGAATATCTAGAATGAAGCACTAGCAGTTCAAAGATGTGGAGAAACTTTCATTAAATATATATTTGATGGTATTTTATTGATAACAGTAGGACAGAAAAAAGACGAGTATAAATTTTTCAATGTAGAAGCAAAGAAAATAATGTTTATTGGTTTATTTTATTGTGTTGATAATTCCATTGTTGTCAAAATATGTCGAGAAGGTTGTTTGCAAATTTAAAATACCTTTACTGTCCTGTTGCTACTTTTGAGTCTCATGGCTTCTTTTGTAGTACTAGTGGAAATTGAACAGGATCTTTCTTCACATCTTTCAGCTTCAACTCATGTTTTGTGATTTGAAAGAATTGTAGAAATTTATTGTTAATGAATTTTGATGAATAAGTATCTAATAGTAATGCTAAATCAATGCGTAGTCTTTCTAGAAAAAAATCCTGCACATTTGAACATAGACGTGCCGCTCGTAGTAAGGCAACATACAGTATATTACGATGAATTCGATGTGAATGATCTAATGCAGATGTGGGTAGATATATTGTAGTACGTGCTTTTCTGATAACATCCACGCCCTAACTTGTAAGGTTCATGTTTCGACTATTAACATAAAAATTTTCTATAGATAGGTAGAAAAATGTCAACATTAAGTTTTTTCTGAAATCTTTTTTTTTTTTTGATAATTAATGGTAGACAATAGCTAATCTATATTTCTTTGAATTTTCTACGTAATACATTTACTAAATTTTTTTTATACTCAAGTTAAAAATAAAAGATCTACGATAAAGAATAGACTCGAACCGATCCATGAAATCTTATCTTATCAGTATTTGATTTGATGATTCTTGTTTTAGAAATGGTTAATTTTCGATAGACGAAGAACAACTTCCAACAAAAAACACTTAGAGATCATTTCATTACTCAAAATAACTATTAAATTTTTACCAGTTTTTTTTTTCGATTAATTATTTGAGTGAAACTCTAAGCAAGAACAAGCTGGCAACATAAATGTGTTGGAGAAGATAAAAGTTGATTGTTTCCCACTGGCATATAGAAAAAGAAAACTTTCTACAATCTATTATTGTAGTACTCGAACATGATTAAGATGTATGAGAATCAATACTAAATATTAGTAAGATTGTAGCCCAAATTTTTTTTTTCTCTCAAATAACAATGCCTTCAGTAAATATCTTCATGAATGGGCCAAAGATAGAAATAGTTAAGTTCTTCAAATACCTAGGTTTTACTTGAACGAATTGCGTAGTAAGTTTTCATTAAAATCAACCATCGACAAATGCATGAATAACGTTCAGATGTCTCTTTGGAAACTGAAATACTTAAAAGTACTTTTTTCTCTTTTTCTGCCAAAACCTCATTAGGACACACTGAGACGAAAGTTTAGAGCTGGGATGAGATTAATGCATCAGTGTCCCTTTGTGTTAGAACGGAATTAGTTCTCTGTAACGTATGAAACTTCTGTCGATTTATACTCTAATAAATATATAGAAATAAGATTGTAGAAAATTCATAAGTTTGATCTACAATGGTCTCATTTGTCTATTGATGTAGATTTTTTTGGGATGAGTTCAAGAAGAGTAAAGGAAATGACCTTGGTCATTTCTTTCAGACGAGAAGAGTGAAAAAATTGCAAGAGAGCCATGAGACTCAGCTGCTCAAATGAATTTATTTTAATGACTAAATACTTCCATGTACATTCATGTGCGTCCTCTTTATGTTCTATCTTTCTTCCTTTTCTTTTCTCTTGCTTTTTATTATCTTTTTACTCCCCTAATTTTAAAGGTGTAATACGGTAACCTGCTGTCATACTAGTGAAATTGCACAAACGTTCCTTTAGATTCTTAATTATTTCCCCATATTCCTATGTAAATGCTTTCGAGCGTAACCATGCACAGCAAAATCAAAGAAGAAAGACGAAGGCAAGCCAATATAATTGAATCAGAAAAACAAACTATACTACTATAATTTTACTGATATTAAATGATATCAACATATAGTACACAAGAAGAGAGTTTATATAGAAACGAATCGAGTATTGAAAGTGTTACAAAAGAAATCCTTTATTTTAGTCTTTCTTCTAATATGGTTCTTTCATTTAATTACTTTTTTTTTACAAATGATGATATATTGTCTCGTTTCTTATGTTATCAGTTTAATCTAAATGTTTTTTGCAGCTCTGTGTTACGAAAATGAGTTTGCTGATATGTGAATGAAAAAGAGTCTCTCAAACAAAAGGAATTTAAAGACACTTTTTATTACAAGTGTTGAATATTAAATCTATCTTTTCTTCTTATTTAATCGTTTCCATTTCGACGAATCGTCATAGTTTTTTTTATTAATTATACTGGAATATAGAAGATTGAAAACTGAACAAAATGAGCTACTTCAATATAATATATTGTCGGCTGGCTAAAGTTCTATCAGGTCAACACGAATGAAAAGCTTTCTTTTCTGCGTCTAAAGAAATGTCCACTTCATAACAATCTATCTCCTATCGAGATTCATAATTACAGATTTTCCAGCTAAACTTTATATATACTATGAAACTTTCTATTTTCCACAAAATGGAATGTTTCGGGAAGGGGTGTGATTCACATCATTCAAGAGAAAAAAAAATTTTCCTTGTTTTCACTGTTATGACACGATTGTAAAGCTAAATGAAAGTGACACTAGAAATCAATGTCAAAAAACTATATTGAATCAAATACATTTTAGATAAACTTCTTCTCTACGAAAAACTGAGCCCTGACGAACAACAGATAAGCAACGAAAACGGCTAAAACATTTTCTCTTTATTGAAGAGTCATCAAAAATTATTATATGAGAGAGAGAGAGAGATGGAAACATCATTTCTTCCCAAACATACCATTTTGTGGAAAATAAAATATTGTATAGCATATATTCAGTTTAACTTGGAAATCTGTAATTATGAATCTCGATAGGACATAGATTGTTATGAAGTGGACATCTCCTTAGACGCATAAAAGAAAGTTTTTCATTCGTGTTGACCTTATAGAACTTTAACCAGCCGACAGTATTATATTGAACGAGCTCATTTTGTTCATTTTTTATCTTCTATATTTCAGTATAACTTATAAAATATATCGATGATTTGTTGGAATGAAAACGTGCACAACTTTTACCTGGCACGTTTTTGTTGTTTTTGTTTTTCATAAGGATATTATGGTGGTAAACACACGGTATTGTTTAACTTTTGTAAGAAAGGCTATTCTGCGCTAAAATTCGGTGATCATGGTTTCAGACGTCCATGCATTAAATGCACAAAAAAGAAGGTAAAAGTATTTCTTTTCCGGATTGTCTCATACGTCGGCATCAAACTCGATAGTGTCACGATCCTTTTCTCAAATTTTAAAATCGTAAATAATTAACAACTCATGGAAACTATACGTGCCTTTTCCAGATCGGGAAATATTGCTTTCCTTTTCTTTTTATGCCTTTCTTTATATAAAATCGAGTAAAGGAATTTCTCATGTTTATGAGATACAGTAGTCGACTAACACCGCAGGAAGTTGATGAGAGGTCAAAACGATATGCTTAAATGCAGTTTTAATAGGAGTCTATTCGTGATGAATAATGCTGACGGAAACAGCGAAAGCACAGAACGAAAACAAATGTGCACATGATCGAAATTGTATAGTTATCAATAAAATACAAAACCAGATGGCAACATTTTAATGACAAAAAAATATTTCTTGTTTGTCATTTACGAGATACAATCTTTACACCTGTTGTCAACATGTTGTTTTTCTCAATAGTCTAAAGCCCATCATTAAGTTAATGATGCGTGGATACCTTCCAAATAGGATACATCTCTCCATATAAAAGATGATGTCGTTTCTGTGAACAAAATAACTAAACGAAAACAATCAATCACAATGTCCTCCTCTGAGTCAAAACAAGTCGATAAGGTGCAGCCGAAGCTTCCAGAAAAAATGCAGAAGAACTCAGGTAAAGTTCTTATTGATATGTCTTGTTCTTTATAAAAAAAATTCTCGTACTGTCTAGTTAGTTCTTGAGAGTTTAGTAACAGAATCGCCATATTGATTGAGATACAGATTTGAAGTTTAAAAAATATCCATAATTTCAGGATTAATAAACAATATTATTTCCTGATAGAGCCTAATATAGTTCCGATGTTGGGACAAAACTCTTAAATGCTTACTCTTTTCAATTTATTATAGAAAACACAAATGGAAAGAAAGGCCAGTACTTTGGAGCTGCTGCAGCTCCTAAAGTTAGTTCAAAAAAAGCTTATGTTTCATTTAAGCCAATAACTTCGTATTTACCACGTCTCAAAATACGTACCGTTCGCATTTCACTGCTCTCCGATGCATTCGATCCATGCGCCAATCTCGTCGGTATGATTATCTATGGTTACAATGGTCAAAGTGACTTCTATCTAAATGGCAGACACTGCAAATCAGGCTATATTCTAATCAAGAGGGCGGACGCCATCAATCACATTCCAGGCGATACAATGCACAAAAAGCTTTTCAGATGGTTCTTTGGTCAAGATTTGGATTCCTTATTTGCTGGTGGTGGTTTCGCTTATCAAAATGGTGAATGGAAGCATAATTCATTCTCATTTAACACTAACCTAGATTTTTA